AAATTATAACGAAAGTAGATTATTGTATAGTCCGCATTATCATCAAAATTATAGGAATTACTTTATCATTTATGCTGTATTCACTAAAAAAATATTAAATGTAAAATTTAATAATAGGTACTTGCCTAAAAGGCTAAAAGTAAATGTTATAACATATTGACATATTTAATTAAAAATAAACAATCCTACAATTGATAGTATATAAACTTCTTTGTTATCAGAGTATATTTAGGCTCTTTAAATATAGGTATTGTTCATTGATATTATTATAATCTAAAAGAATCTAGGACAATTGACAGCCATAGAAATTGAATTGTACATATACGTATCCTAATATTAGGAGTATATAATTAAAATGTAATAATCATCAACAATTTAAATTGTTTATTAATAATAAAAAACAAAAAATAATAAATTAATCATATTATATATATTTAGTATTTATGTTTGATGACGCAAGACACATTGGTTTTAAAAAGAAATTGTATCATCATTATTATTAATGCTAAAATGTTTGCGTATTATGTATAATATTGTTTTCACGATGTGTTTAAATATTTATACCAGTTTTTCATTTTGTACATCGTATATTATAATACAATTATCTATAAAATTGCATTTTCTCATTTCTCGAATTGTTGGTGTAATTTTTGTATACAGGTAGACGATTTTTTTGAAAACGAATAGAATATCGATACTTGAACGCATCATAAACCTTAAACATTTTGGTTAACGCATCATCAGGGACCGAAATCGATCAAAACCTTTATAAAAATCAAATAATTACAAAAACCATAAATAAGCGTTAATGTTTTTTGAGAGCTATATCATACCGGAAATAATATTGATTAAACTAAAACTCCCTGTCTGTGATTAATACTATACAATTATTATAAAAAAATATCCAGAATATCCATAAGCGTGTTTGTAATAATAATATTTTTTGGTACGTTTTAGTCATAATACTTGTTTTTAAATTGTACATTAAAAAAATTAAAAAAAACAAATACGATTAATCATATTAAACCTACCCAAATGAAATTTGCATAATAATATTTATTTTTTTATTTTTCATTATTATATTAATGAGTATTTTTAGATTTTGAGCCCAGCGATAAATGTATTGGTATTGTATTTTTTTTTTCAGATTCGGAACGTATTGATTTTATAATGTGTGTGTGTTTTTTTTTTTTTTGAGTCTGTGGGCAACTTTTCTACGGAAAAACTTACTTCGAAGTATCAATTGTAACAGCTTTACTGAAAAGTAATTTTATCTAGTTCAATGGTGCACAACTATTTTTGATTCACGGCCCCCAAATTAATTTATTTCGATGACGCGACCCCCCATCCTACTAACATTACATAAGTGTTATAATACATATATATTTACTTAATGTATACAATAATTATAGTCGTACAAATTAAATCGTTAATTTTGAGCAATTTTAAATATTTGTTTAATTTAATTTATTCAAACTTTTGATTACAAAACATAAAAAAAAAAAATACGGCAATTGTTTAACTATAATCAACATTTTAATCATTTTAAATCATAAAACTACACGATAACCCTTGTGCTTAAATTGTAGACATGATTGAATTTAAATTGGGTTTGATATTTGAAACTGCCACTCCTAAATCTGCTTCGACATTCAGTCTGAAGCGATATTTGTTTTTATTATCGCTAGTGTTGACAAAACTGTTTCGTATAAATAAGTGGAAGCGAAAGGAAGTAATTATTTCTGATTAAATTTAAAAATAACCTATATATTACATGGTTCAATAGAACTTATTATCGCAATATTTAGATAATATGATGTATTACGGTTGGTACGGCCACCGACGCGACGGTACCTACAAGAAATATTACGCAATACAATATAATATGTATATATGACATTAATTTGGTCATTGGTTAGAATAGATTCTATAATCAATGATTTGGTGTAAATATATTGTCGACCCCCTGTTAAAATTTCGCGACCTCCGGGTTGCGCACCACTGATCTAGTTGATGCAATGATGCATGATGGAAAGGTAATTTTTTTTGATTTTCTAATGGGGTTTTCAAAATTGAGAAGAACCCGAAAAAAAATTATAGGTAAAAACCGAAGGAAAATTATGCACGTATAACGGCAAATATTTACGGCACGTCGCGACATTATACAGTTTTCATTGTTTTTAATTTTTTGCAACTTAAGTTTTCTACCAGAAATATTGCTCCAATCGAAAATTACAAGGTATCAATTTTGTTTCTTTTAATATTTCACTATTGACAAGAAAAGTTTTTTTATATCTAAAATATTTTTTTAATAATTGGGAAAAATCAAAATAGAAGAAAACACCATTTTTTTCAAATTGCGGCACAAAGATTTCTTTATTTTATATTTTTACGGAATATGTTTTCTATAAAAAATATTTTAAACATTTTTTGTTGCATTTTGGATCTTGATACTCACGAAGAAAGTCGTTTTTTGATATAAAAGATAATAAATAAATTATAATAAAAGATTTTAATATCAAATTTTGACAAAAGTCGTAAATATTACGGCCTTTTAAAACATGTATAACTGAATTACATTTAGAATCGTTTTTCGTTAGCAATGATTAATCATAAAAAGTAATACCTACCCTTTAGTCACTAAAATTTAGTGTATATATATATTATAGTAGAATATATGTATTATTATTATTATACAAAAATACGGTTTTTTTTTTAGTTTTTTAGTTTTTTACATAATAAACTCAGATCAAAAAGAGGTTTCATGTGTATAATTGAAATCAATTTTAAAGATTAATTATATAGATTTCGATATAATATAACTTAATTACACATTCGATTTAGGTGCTATCGTAACTCGTATCATTTTATAATATATACCACATACCTATTTTTCTACCGAATATACTGTAAAAGTATACCCATTTATTAATAAAAAATTCAAATTTATTTCCTTTGTTTATAGAACATTATTATTATATATATATATATATATATATATATATTATATGCTAATATATATACTTATTATATAGGTATATTGTAAATGTAATAGGGAGAAATAAATTCTTCATTGCGTGCAAACACCCGACTGCAATATTGATGGCGCCAAGCACACACGAAACAACCCCGTCTCCTGTAATACCCTGAGTCATACGAATTGTTATTTTAAGTAGTTTTCGCTGTGTTTCGTATAGTATACAATATTATACAGCCGGTAAACCTACATACGCGTTACTTTTTATAGTTTTTTTTTTTTTTTCAGAACATAAATTACCTATTACAATGCATAGGTAATATTGTATAACACGAAAAAATATTGAAGTGAAATTGGAAAATAATCGAATTCGTTGTGTACGTTCAGTGTATGCATTTGTATAATATGACGTTTATTAAATGAACTATATTTCACTTATGGCTATATATATATGAGCAACACTTCCATTTGTATCAGATACCTAGGTACCTATATCTTTTGATTTGTATAATTGAATAAATGATTAATGTTGATTTAGACACAAAACTATATAGAAAATATAAACTATTTAACTGTCTAGAATGAACTGTTTAAACAAAACTTAATGTACATTTATTAGTAGAGTTTTGCAGAATTCCCAATTTAGAAAAATCTTTTTAAACTAAAAGTTATACCAACTTGTTAGTACGCGAATAAACAACCACACGTGTAAAATTGTACCTAAATGTACTCAAATTATTTTATTTCTTTGTCGGTATAGTTGTATAAATGTTTATAATGTTTGTTTATTTAAATGAATATGTATAATTTTCAATTCGTTTTCATCTTTAAATATTATATGATTTCGTAGACTCTTAAATAATTGTTTATACTAATTTACGAAATTTGCAAAACTTAATAATATACTACAATACGATTTTATTCTTGATGAAATTATAATTTATTCAATTTAATAAGAAACTGAACAAAGTTATTTAATTTCTGTCATTTTTTCGCAAATGATTTTGTATAAATAATGCATAGAGGTCAACATTTGACAGTAATTCTCAACATCTAATAGGTATTTGCCTACCACTTGTCTATTACTAAAAAAAAAAACCAAAAACCGTAATTAGTACATGACAAAAATATAAACGAGAAATACTCAAGTTTAAAAATATAAAAACAATAAGTATATCTAAAAGGTCATCTTATATTTTATTCGGTGTTTTGAGGAAAAACCTATACGCAGCAGCAGCAGCAGCAGCAGCAAGTGGTCACAGTGCTACGGATCAATAGTATGCGTCAAATGGGGTTGGGTGAGGGTGAGGTACATTCCGCCCTTTTATGCGCGAGCCCCTTTATTGTTCGTACCACACATCTACACAGCACAACAAGCCTTTTGAACACCGAACATTAATCCCAGTGTGACCAACATATTACGCGAAATTGCGAATGTTTAGAATTTTTGTATCACAAAAATCTATAGGTTAAAACATTATTTAATATAGGGAAGTAGCTCGTTATTTTCCTAATTATCCATCCCGTTCGATTTTAATATCGTATAACTGACAATTTGTTATTTTCATTGTAGAGTTACTAGACATTGAGAGTGAATAATATTTAATAATATATAAAATGATTTTATTTTAATTTCAATTATTACGTCTGTAATAGCTACACCGTATTGTGATCACAGCCGTGATTGTGGCTGATGTGGGGTCATCCAAATAAAAATGGAACGACGGCATTATTTTGGTTTCATCGTGTGACATAGTACTTAAAACTACTAGGCATATCCGCTGAATACAAGTCGAATATTTAAGAGATACGGTTTGTATAAAATATTTTGCAATCATTAGCACCGGATTAATGCGTTAGTACTAAATCGTAATGCACAATAATAATAACATTGGGCGTCCGGCCGAAAAAAATACCGTACCGCGTACCATAATTACCGTATACTCACGACACTGTTCGGGATTTGTGCATTGGCGGCGGCAGCGGCGGCGGCGGCGGCGGCGGCGGCGCCAAGCGGTCACGAATTCACGATCCCTACGGAGGCGGGCGACCGACCGTTTTACGGTGGTTGCTTAATGCTCAGTGTCGAACGGACCGCGTGTCGTGGCGTTCGTGTCTGCTTAATTTGCGGTTTCCCGTTACTAGCTACTACGTATGTATCGTAGTGATAATTGCAACGTTATTATATAATTAATTTACTCTCCGTCGTCGTTGCCGCCCCCAACCCGACGACACGCGTTTTTGGTCAGAGCTATGCTGGATATGATGAACAAAATGGCCGAACTTAAGTTCGAAGCGCCGCTGGCGCAGTTCGAGGAGTCGGACGAGTGGACGAAAATGATGGACGACGAATCGCCGCAGCAATCGACCAATAAAACCCTCAACCACGTACTCCACCAGGGCGGCGGTAGTCAGCCGACGTCCGGCGGTGTACCTAAGGACATCGAGCAACTAGACAACATGTTCACCGGCAGAGGAGCTCAGCTGGATGTAAACAAAACGTCGTCGTCGTCGTCTTCATCGTCATCGTCGTCATCGCTGACATCCTCGTCGTCTTCGTCGTCGTGCACGCAGTGCGGAGCGAACAACAATTTGGAAGTGACGAACGACGGCGACAATTTCGGCGAGACGTTCAGCGGATCCCTGGAAGACCTGGTGCACACGTTTGACGACAAAATCACCAGATGTTTTTGCGATTACGAGGAGTCCGTGGAAAAGTTAGCTCCGGTTCAGATCAGGACCCAGGAAGAGATAATGAACGAATGCCAGTGAGTATTATTTATATCCGATTATAATTATAGTACATCCGACCGTAAATAATATTATTATAATGCGTGGTTGTAATGGCGGTCTATTTTTCTATATATATATATATACATGAAGTGGCGTACGATAGGGGTTACATGCCCCCTACCTCGCTTAAAACCACAACGAATAAGCGATTATTTAGTAACTTTATCTTGAAATTATATTAATATACTTCAGCCGAGTTACATAGAAAAAAAGGTTTGATTTTTGGTGTTCAATAAAAGTTGACCTTTTTTGCTGCGTCCCGGCCTTTAGATTCTCACTGTCGACTTGGGTGTTTCGGTGTAACATACCGAAGATTCCACGGTCTATTCGCGAATCGCGGTTGTTATTTACTACGCCCCCTCCCATCGATAACTCCTGAGCGCGCCACTGTTTATACGTAGATATAAGTATACTTACTATCACATTGTGTTTGATATTTGTCCGGGAAGCCTTATTAATGTATACGGGTGAATTATGTTGTATTATGTTTGCATCGTACGAACGCAGAACTACACGGGCGTTGGAAACGGACGAAAGAAACGAATGTATCGTCTAAATGTATAATGTTACCGTGTTTCGCGGCGAGAAATGGCCAAATTGAATTTTGTATTTTCACAGCCGCATAGGTATTTTCAGCCAACTGTGTTACGGCTGTAATAACAGGTACCTATAGTAACCTATACCTAGTCATAATCAAAGCGCGGTTATCGCGGTCGACCGGGGTATAAAAACAGAGGAGCAATGCCTTTTCGTACATTCGATCGCGGAAATGTAAATTACCTGCGCGCGCACCGGCTTTTCGTTTACCCGCGGGTATTGCACCGTACCCAGCAGGTACGTATCCTTTTCTTTGTACCTACACTCAATGTTGAACCCGAACGATTTATAAAGGCGTACGTCTGTACGGATTCGGTTTCCCCCCCCCCTCCTTCCCCATCGGTTATTATTATTGTCGTTCATACAGGTGACGTAGCGACGACGACGATATGACGAAACGAAAACAAAAACAATTTTTTTCTTTTCTCCACTCTATTCACCGAAATTCCAAAAACCTTGGTTCGCCTACTCGACCCGACGCGCAACGCGCAGCGTCGCCGGTGCACGCACGCATCGTCATGTACACAGGCGCGCACCGCGGGCCCGACAGCTCGCCTAAATCGCGACCACAATGCGATCGTTACGCCTCGGCGCGCGAACGAGTGAATCACCGCGGCGACTAAACGCCGTACGTGTGCGAGCGCGCGCGCGCGCGCGTGTGTATATGTGTAACGGTGTCATTACGGCGAGACAAAAGTCAAAAAAGACGAATAACAATAAATAACAATAATAACGCGTCGCGATAATAATCGCGCGTGTTTTCGAGTGCGGTGCGCGACCGACGGCGGAAGCCGATGACTAGCCCGTCGGTCTCGTTTTGCGCGCCCGTGGTTTGCCGCCGTTGCGCCCGTTTCGGAATTTACGGTTTCACAGTAGACGGGAAAAAAAACCCCCCCATCCCGATAGGTACCTGCCTATCCACCCACCCACCTAACCTCGTGCGAACTGTGCTGTACTTCTACGCGGGCGTATAGGCCGAATAATTGGCTATTAAGTAAGTGGACGGTGTGCGCGCGTTCGTTTCGTTTCGGTCTTATACGCGCGCGATAATGTAGTTGAAATGTGCTTACGCGGACCGCACAGAACTCGTTTGATTTTGGTTTTTGGAGCAAACACACCTATTATAAAATCAAAAGAGAACCACGTGCCGGGGGGGGAGCAAGACGTTGCGTTTTTATCATTTTCTCCGGATATAACGGCCAATGTACCGTTTATAAATAACGACTTTTTCAACGTTTTTTTTTTTTTTTTTAATTAGTTAAAACTTAAAAAAAAAAAACAATAGTAACTTTTAACGAAAAACGCAACGTCTTGCCCTCCGGAATATTGTTCTCTGTTTGTTTCATTAACGGTGCTTTTACTCGAAAACCAAAACTAAGCGAGTTCTGTGTACTCTGCGTAAGCATGTTTTTACTAGGTCTCGTGTTTGTAAGACGGAAACAACAAATGCATATCCTCTTAAGGTAATAGCCAATAGACGAAGCATATTATAATGCACGGTCATTATGATACCTAGGTACTTGTTATATTTTGTATACCTACATAATCTTTATGAGACTAATGGACCCCGTTGGGCATACAATTATTTAAATATCGTCCCGTTTTGACCCCGTCCTTGGGTCGCCTATGTACATAACATTTTAGATTCTGAATAAAGCAAGAAACGTATTGGTTTTTTCATGCATGTTTTTTTTCTGTTAATAATTTTTATACCAGAAATTTTGATCTAATAAAAACATTTAAATAGGAATTTTCATGTAACATTTTAGATCTAGTTTATGCAAGGAGGTAATTTTTTAATTCCCTTGTATTTTTGTTTAATAAAACTGGCAATTTTTGTTGATTTCTGGATTACGTTCGCAGCAACGAAGAAAACATGACTAATAATACTCTGCTCAGAATCGGTTTTCGTTAGCAATTATAATTTGTTGCGCACAGAAATAAATTCAATTACTCTTTGTATCCTCCCTTTCAACTTACCTATTTATACAGTGGCACACCCATCAGCAGAATCGGCTCTCTTTCCCTGTAAATTATATTCAGTACACAATGTTGTACCTAATCATTAATATCCTACTGTGAAGTTGGTCAGATAATAAAATACTAACTACTAGGTATAATATAATTACCTTCCTATTTAATGAAACTTTATCACTATAATATAAATAAGGTTACATTATCTAAATTAAAAACAATTGATTTTTATAGATCTTTATATAGCTGCAAATTGTTGTATACCGAATAAGTGGAATGTATAAAGATATGTGCCAATAATGAACTATTAAATAGCAATTAAGATTATAATTTATTTATAGGTGCTTTTATTTTATAGTTAAAATACCGGTTCAAAGTTTATTTATCTTTATAAACAATATTATCATAAATTTCAGGAATAATCAAAATACATATTATTATGAAAGGAGTTATTTGATTTTCTGTTTTACGGGTGTTTTACCGACATTTCGTTCAAGGTGTTAAATTCCCAAACATATTGGATTCTTGGGCTAAAATTAGAAAACAAATCTTAAACTGGTATCATTGGTTCGGGTTAAATAATAATAACCGACAATGTACGTCTGTCATAGATTCACACATGTATAATTAAAAAAAAAAAAAAAACTAAAATATTGGCCGTTGTCCAAAGTTCAAGGTTAGTCGGGAAATGCGAAAAAATTCGTTTTGAAATATAATACACGGCGTTTATTTTTAACTTGAACAACTTTTTGGACAAAACAGTCGTAAAAATGTATATTCCATAATCGCAGTATTGCCAAATATTCTAAGATTTATAATAGCATTATGTACACTATAATATAAAGTTTAAGTTTGTATCAATTTAAAAAAAAAAAAAAAATAACGTTTCAATAAAAAAAAACTTTGAAATGGTCTTTAATTTTCGTTATTATACTTGTCCTATTAAAAGAAAAAACCTTATATAAATACTGCAAATCCAATTTAGGTATCGTGTCCTTTTTTTAAAAGGAAGAATAGGTAATTTGTGTCTAGATTTATTCGGTTAAAAAAACGAGCACCTTTACCTCGGAAAATCGCATGTTTATAGTGATAATTCGATACTCGTTCTATTTCGATTCTCGATAACTTCATTTAAAAATAAAAACAAAATAGGTTTAGATGTAAAAATACATAAAAAAAAAAAAAATAAAAAAAATACTAATTTATTTAGTATCTAATCTGCTAAACCACAGTGTGATTATCACGTTATCACTTCATTTTAACATGATTAAATATCGAAATCGATACCTACCAAAAATACCTTGATTTCGATATCGATAATTCTTTTAATAATACAAATTTTTCTCTTTTTAATTTTGACAAATCTATTTCTATTCTGTTTTATAGTGGATGCATATTGTTCGGCCCAATTATAATTTACAGATTTTACACTACTTAAATATGTAGACTATTTACGACTTACAAGAATGAAATTACTGTATATTTTACTACCTACCTACTTCTGAGAAAAAATTATGTAAATACAAAATTATTGTCTAGGTGTTATAGCCACACAGATACCGTTAACTTAACTTAATCGTGCCATTATATTAATCGTATTAAATCTGCTTCAAAACTATAATAACATAACTATCGAGTTAGTAAACTATATTAATTTTTAAGGAATATTATTGAATTAAGAGGACGCCGCTCGTAAATTTATTGTCTATATGGCTTATAAACGCACGACCTAACAAATTTACATTTAGCTAAACCAGTTTTGTGTTTTTAGTTTTAATTGTTGATTGAATTGACATGTTATCAAACGTGAAAGGAAAACTATTATCCGTGTTTGTACTTTGGTTTTCTTCCAATATTTTAGTTTTTAAGCGAGTAACATTTTGAAAAAATTCCACAATTTTTGTAAATAATTAAATAATTCAGCAGAATCTTTAAAATATATTGATGGCTTGGACGTTTTTTACAGCAAATTGAATTTCATTTTTCAATGTTTTATGGTAACGGAATTTGTATCAATCTGTACAAAATAAAGTTATCGAATACTATACAAATTATTCAAGTAGAACGTCATAATAATACGAACGAACTAAACAGACGACGCACATACTAAAAGTATAATCTGCACAAAATAATTTGTTTACAACTGGGATATAACCGCAAATTAGAATATAATTTGCAAGTAGAAAGGATGCAATTCGTGTAGTCGTTTAGAAAAACCCGGAACGTAGTTCGTGTAATCACGGATTTCTTATTTTGAGACGCAATTCGTATGCAGCTTTTCAAACACTATATTTGCTCCTATTAGATAAAGTCGTATTTTTTTTGGCAAGCCACCGGAGACTTATCGATATAAATTATTTCCTTTTTATCGTTTTAGAATATTATTAAAGCAATGGTCGAAAACCAATGCATTTAAATATTTTAATCTGTCATCACGTGCTCGTTTATCGTAAACACATTGAACTCGATGGTATTATTAACACATTTCCGTTCTTTTGAGTATTCGGTAGGTAAGTAACGTGTGTGAAGTTGCCCCCCCTTATCCCATTTTCTCCAAACCTCCACCATTATTTTGAAAATAATTTGAAAACCAGTCTTCAGAATTTGAACACTTTTATTTTAGCTACAAAAATGGTTTTTTTCTTTCCTTTTTTTTTTATTCATAAATAATTAAATACAATTTTTATTCACTGTTAACTTTTAATTTTATCCCGATGTTTAACATTTTTATTTTACTCACAATTACTTACGTGCACATTTCATCTATTTTAACTTCAACAACTTCCGAGTCCTATATAATTATTAGAGTAACCATTAACCAGTCGCTTGGCAATGAATCTTACGGATATAAAAACAAGAATAGTTTTATATATTAATATAGAATACTATAAGTATATTTTTAACTTTTTTATAATAGGTCACCTTTACGAATATCAATTAAAATAAATTTACAATAACATTGAACAAAATAAATATTATTTGCACGATAATAATATGTGTTTTTGCTTATTATTACTCAAGATGTTTCATATAATATTATGATATATAAGTTTACTAAAATTGTTTTGAAATTACCGGCGCATAGTCTGAACTCTAATATATACAGTATGGTTATTACGTTAAACACTAGTCTCAAAAAATATTAACTTTTTCGGAATTTATTCATTAGACATTTTAAGATAAGCAGCTCTACAATTTTACATTTTCGTTATTTTTGTCGCCTTCATATTTGGGAATGAAACCACTACCCACTTTGATTTTCAAATTCACAAATTCCATAAATAGATAAAGTTTTAAATAAATAAATTTTAATTGGTGTTAAGGCTTTTGATTTCCGTCATTCCATTAATGATATATTCCACTTCAAAATAGAATGACAAAAATAACGGTAACGTAGCATTTTAAAGTTGTCCGTTTCTAAATTTATCTAAACAACAAGATCCAAAAAATGTTCATACTTTCCGAGATAATGAGTTTCTTACGCTGTGTTGATCACTCTGTATATACATAATAATATTATGGTTAGCCTAGTGATCACAGTTACTGCAGTTTTCTGGTGAAAGTAGTCAGTAGTTTTATTTATTTTTTTACTTTATACAAATTTCAATTTGTATTTTGTATACATCATTAATTATCCCTCGTTTTAATGCGAAAACTGCGAAACCATAGCGTTATCACATTGTGAATGATAATAATAAAATGGTTCTAATTCGTATAAACCTCTAAATTATTTTAGTAAAAGCAGAATAAATATTTTTTGTGTAATCGTTGACATGCGGACAATATTATGTTAGATACATAATATGACATACTGACATACTACATTAAATAAAATTAATTACCTAATAATTTTAAATTATATTGCAAAAAAATATATATATTTATATATTAAATATTATATTGTCAGTCGGCTATATTTCGAATAAAATAAAATTGTACTGTTTTATATATTCTTTTCATTTTAATTAATTTTATTACGAGTAATATGATCATCATCAAACATCGTTAAAGACATACCAAACAACCATATTTAGTATTTAATTATATCGCCTGCCGCAATGAAAAAGATCGTACCTATCTCACTTTTTCTTACTTTTTATCTAATCTAGTCTGTAGTGCCCAAGATGAGTCGATTGCCTTACAGATACGACCTTCTTCCAGACGGTATAAAAGTAAATAAAAAAAGAGTAGGTACCTTCTGACATTATTTGATCAATAAGAGAGAAAATAATATCGATTTATATACTTGGTTTGGAAATTTTTATCGTGACAATCTGTAAATATACGAAAATAAGTATGAAAACAAAATTGACTAACGTACGTATTTACCTATAATTCTTTAAATTAAATACAGTTGAAGCCGTTTATTAGGAATACGGATAATTGATACAATCGCGTTATTGAAACAAAATGTATAGGGACGGACCGGTCGTCTATTAGAACAATCGTATATTAAAATCAATTGTTTATTAGAAACAATCGGTTAATTGATACGTTTCACCTCGGTCCCGGAGTGTTCCTAATAAGCGGCTTTAACTGTATTGATATTCGTGTGAACTTTGTAAATCAATTATCAAATTATCAAATTACATTTAAAATATTATCATGGTTAGAATTCGTACATCGTATACGAGACTACAAATTATTATTTAACTTCCCCCCCTCCCATTTGCTAATGACAGATCCCGAAATAAAATAGTCAAGCTAATTATTATTAACTGACCTTTTAAAGTCTTAACGCCATTAGCAGACATTTGGCCCATTATTTCTAATTTCTATAATTGCATTTTTACCGCTTGTACATTTAAGCAACGATATAAATTGGTATTCGTGACAACTTTTAAAAAAGTTTAAAGTGTCCGTTATTGTTTAGATTTATATATTTTTAATCAAACTTTATAGTATAGATTAGATTGGTAGGTGTATATTATGTTTTTACAGTATTTTTCGGATAGGATGTGAAAAACAGAAAATAAAATCTCAGTACAAATACTTGGAAACACATTCACGTTCGGTAGATATTTTATTTAAACCTGGGTGATTTTCCGTGTGGTTTTAAATTGGTATACACTAAAAATTCGGGATGGTACGTTCCACGAGACAATAAAAAAACCGCCTATATTAATTTGTTGGCTGCTGCATGGACGTTGTCGGTCTTTTTTCCTTCGAAAACGAACATGTGGATAATATAATATTATCATATGTCTCAGGTGTATAATATATACATATATAGTAACTGCATATACTCCGTAAGAAAACCAGTTTTATAGCCGCCACCATAATACGTACTTACGTACCTTCCTACCTCGGTATAGAGTAACCTGTAAGACTTCACTGTGAAACACCGATGCAGTCAATAAAATTGCGTCGAGATTCTTTCGTGGGTACATATATAGGTATGCGATATTAAGTACCAAACACAATATACGCTAGCCACTATCATTTTATAACATATCATTTTTATTTTTTTTTCCATTAAGATTATACATTGTATAAAGGTTTTCGTTAATTTGCGCAGGATTTTTGTAATTTAACAAGGACGTTAGACACGTGCATTATTATTGTTGTCTCCGCCGTGGAAACTTATACGGCATGGCAGATTTGCGCTCAGCTAAACAGTGTGCCGTTAGTTTTAATGTTAGAGGTATTTGACCTATTATCGAACTATTATCAAATACAAAGAGGAGAACATTATCCGTATTTGTACGATGGTTTTTTGTCGTTTTTGAAATTTTTAACCAAGATTCGAGTGTGTGACATATCACAATTTAAAAATGCTAATAAAATTTAAATGATGAAAAAACCAACGTACACACGCGCAGATAATATTCTTCCCTTTAAGTTGTATAATAGGTCAGTTCACTTTTATATTAAGAATTATAGTTTAAAATTGATCATGCTAAACACAAATTTGTACGTTTGTAAGACGGAGACAACAAACGCATATTAAGGGGCTTCTACACGACTACACATAATTTGTTTTTTTAGTTCAGTTTAGGGTAAAGGGACCTATTATACATACTGTAAAAAAGAGTGTATTTCACTACATTTTTGACGAATTATATTTAAATATTTGTTTTTCTAAAGGTAAGTATTATTCGTGGTACTAAAATTAAAAGCAATTAAGTTAAATTGAAATATGCATTTTTTTACAATAAAAATAAAAATATTGTAAATTCGGCCGAAGCATAATAAATAATCTATTTTATAAAATTAAGTCCTTTTGTTCTAAACTCAACCAGAGAGTCTTAATTTACAGAGTATATTTGTTGCTAAATTACTCATTTACGTGCGAAATAGAGAAAACATATTAGGTACGTGTGGATCTAACTGCACTAAACTTTCACATATACTCGGCGAATACTGTCAGTGGTACCGAAGCAAGGGGAGTACCCCCCCCCCCATTTAAAGAATAGGAAGCAAACACATTATTCCATCCATCCCAGATTGAATAAAAAGAAAGCTTTAATGACAAAACAAACATTAAAATTGCAAATAAACACTATTTCATTATTTTACTAGAACATAACTTAAGTATATTATTATGGTTTAAAAAAAACCTGTCGAAATTGATTATAATCCTGTGACATGCATGATCACTATTCATGACACAATGTACGTGTAATTGTATTCGTAACAATGTGTATGGCTACACTATATATCTACAGAAATTGAATGAAATTTAATTTTACTTTTAATTTATGTTTGTACCCAAGGATGTGCTCTGAAATCAGGACTCGAAGTGAACGGCAGTGTAGTTCTGGTTCACATTTACAAAAAGAAAGATAAAAGTTTTATCATTTTTGTTTACAAATCATATAAACATATTATGTACATTTTTTAAGTATTTTTTTAAAAAAAAGAAGAAATTATGATTCAATAAATGGTCTGTTTCGAGCACTAACGAAAAAGTAGAAAAATATAACACAGATAGGGAAGGGAGGTGAGCCCGTTCCGGAGTGAAAGACGCGACCCTACAGGAAAAGATCCATGTACTATTACACGATTCATATTTTTGAATATATTTCAATATTTTTTTATTTTTTTTAAACAATTGTAACTTTTTTATTAGTTCATAATTCAAAACACAACTATGATATTTCCTCCGAAATATTGTTCTCTATAAATTTTATAACATGTACTTTTACTCTAAAATCAAAATTAAACTAGTTTTATTTATTTTGCGTAAGCATTGTTTTTGCATGTTACCCGGTAGTTGGACTGAGACAGTAGATGCGGGTATAACATTATAACGTTCTCTTAAGCTATTCATACGAACGTGTACAGTTATTATAATATTTTACACTTTTAATCTTATTCATCGTAATAATAGCGCGCCGGTGTGATTTGATGTAGGCGCGTCTGATAAACGACGAGGAATCAAGTCGTTGAATCGTGATCACGTTTCATAGTTTAACGCGCGGTGAAGGGCCCCGCGGTCTAGTCCTAAGAACGAGCATGATGATTCTGTAAAATTGTACAACTATCCCACGATATTATTATTATAAACGCTTTGTGTTGATCCGATAACATCGTTTGGGTACCTCCTACCTATATGTTTCGTTTTTATTTTTTTCGGTCCAATTATGTATGTAGACACGAAACCGCGCCGTAGTCCAGTTGCATAATGTATTTACCATGATACGGACAAGAATTATACAATTATCGTGAACTATGAATTGCATTTATCTGTAGTATAAAGTATAACAACTTTGTTTTGTTTGTTTTTTTATTATTATTAACGATTACATTGAGTAAAACGCGCTAGATATAGGTACCTATAATATTGCTAATTCGATTTAAAATTCAAATACAATTTAATACTACATGTTTTATTTTATATTTATGTATTAGGGTTATTACATGTTACAGCCATTTCTACGAGTTTTATGAGAACGCAACAACGTCTATAAATCCATAATACTCGTAATAAAAAATATTGACTTATTAAACTATATTATAGTATAGTATATATTAATTATTTGGCGGTAAATAATTTTTGAGCTGTCATGCTATCAGTATTATAGTTAATAAAAAAAAAAAAAAAAAAATGATCTGGGAATATTAAGAAATTAAGATGACGCTACACGTACATTTGTCTTACATAAACAAATTTTCTTTCAGCAGAACTGATTTTGTGCTTTTAATTTTAATATATTAAAGCGAATTGACCTTTTATCAAACTTAATAGAAAGAACATTATCTTTGTTCGTATGTAGTTTTTTCGCCGTTTTAATTTTTTAAGTTATGTATATTGTATAAGTGTGTTCAATATCATAAATTATAAATGCTGATATCTCGCATAAAAATTATATCGAAAAAACGCAATACATACACCCAGATAATGTTCTTGCTATAGAACTACAGTACCTAACTAAATACATTTTTAATTTTATTTAGAAAATTTAATAAATGATTCGTAGTATTATATTATATTATTATTAATTAGTGTTTCTTCTTTGGGGTACTCCATCCAGCTACTGCAGTAGTAAGCTTACACATACACTTAGAATATGTAATGTAATTGCTGTGCGTGTTGGACAGATGTCTCGGAGACTCCGAGATTAAAAATATGTACCGTATTATACCCATCTTGATGCTATTAACGTGTTTCTAGTTATTTAATGTACATATATGTATATTGTATATTTTAAAATTATATACACTATCTATACAGACTCTGCTCGAATTTAAAAAAAAAAACAAAATATCTTATAAGTATACAAAAAAATGAAAAAAAAATCGTACAAAAAAAATTGTAGACAAACTAGGTAGGTAGTAGATACAATATATACAATTATATTATTGTTTCGTGAATACTATACTATGAGAGGGATTCGAGTTTAGCGTGAAGGTACGCGTTTTAAAATGTTAAATTCGTTCGAAAAATATATTCGAGATTATCCTAGAAAATATAATACGAAGGGATCTAATGGATATGCTTCATGTCCATTTTTAATAACTTTCCGACAGAAACACTTTTGTTCTTATATCTCTGACTGCACTGGGTATACCTTCTTCATAATGTATAATGTATTAATATTATGAATATTTCATAATCATTTTATACGAACAAAAATGATATGGGTACGTACAACGAAAAGCTTTCCCTTTTAACATAAAACGACTTGTTTACATATGATGTGGATAAGATAAAAATGCTTTACTAAAAACTATTTTTGCTCAAAAATATATGACTCAGATCCATAAACAATTTCTTTCATAAACCATAATTTATTATTAATTTCGGAATGGCTATATGCGAATAATACGTGTATTATAATAAACATATATTTTATTTATTATTTTATATCCGTAAAAATAATAATTGTAAAATGCCTACTGGCCGACCACAAATAGCTGGAAATCCCAACTTTTTGGCTGCGGTGACGTTCTGAAGAGATTTTTGACAGGCCTTTACAATTTTCACCGTTGGTTCGAATTTCAAGGGGCCTCCTTTTTAGAGACATCAATACCACCTTCAATTTATTGTAAATTAAACATTTAATGAATTACTTACCAAATAATTTAATAATGAATAATATAATTAAGTAACGTGTTTCAATATTATGGCAGTTTCAACTTGTTGGTTCTAAAAGTGAAAAAACTCTTATTATTGCGTTAAATTATTATTACCGTAATTAATTGCGTTTATTAATTCTATTTAGTTGACAAAAAAATGATAAGATTAAATTGATGTATATGTCTGATTATTATATATTAACTTGTAAAATCTAAGAGTAGTTAATTAAAACACCCGATGGCCAATGGAAAATATATATATACGTTAAATATCAAAAAGAGCATACCAACAAATCAACAAGAAATTATTGATAAGTTTGCTCTAATACCAAATCTGTTATTAAAAAATTTAATGTTTAAATAGCACACTTATTTTGTTTTTATTAACTTTGTTCTTCATAGTAATTTTATTATTACTCAAAGATTGCAAATATTTTTGTGAGCGTTCATAAACTTTAGAGGGTGGGGGGATTAGACTCTTTGAGCCATTTCCAAGGTAGAATTAAAGCATTTTAAATTTTTTAATTGCAGCATTTCTCGTAACGTGACTCAGCTCGATAAAGTTTTAGTGGCGGTTTGGTAGTGTTGTAGAGAAGATAATTTGGACTGCTGTGTTTAATACTTGTAGTGGCGGCGGTGACGCATGCGGTAATTTAAGTGGCACTGATGATTAAGTTCAAATATTGACGACAATCTTTTAAATCATATTTAACCGAACTTCGATCAAAATCGTATTTCGTCTGCAATGAAGGGCGCCACAGAAATATAAACTAAGGGGGGCCAGAGTCAAAAGTATAAGACTTTTTTTTACAACTTACAAGTAATCATGGCTTAAATATTTAAGCCATGCAAGTAATAAAACAATTAATATTTAATATTAATTAAAATAGTGGGGGGACCATGACCCCCACTGACACCCCCCTGCGAGCGCCCTTGACTGCAATGATCTATTTTTGCGTACAAATGTAAACTAAATAACTTTTTGTATCTTATCTTCCCGCCTTCTCACCTACAACAATGACACACCCATTAGCCGTAGACGCTCTTTTTATTGTAAGGGAAAGGGATAGATAGTGTACCGCTGTAATACTATACTCGTATATGTTATCTCCTGCATAAAGTTGTATGCTATATAAACGCTAGATTACCATAATTCACTTCGTATAAAATTATAATCGCGCTATTGTATTCCTTAAGGTATACAATTTATATAATATCTTCCTCTTTTTTTTGTTTTTGTTTTTACAACTCCGATATGGTCATGTATGTCTATGTATTTTTTTTTTATAAGAGTTTCAATATTAAATTTTGACGATACTCGTAAATATTACGGCCTTTGTATAACCGATCTTCGTTCCGTCTATCGTTGCTTAGGGATATAAATTAAAAACCTTTATGTATCCTACCTTCTTCCCAACTACTATCACCAACAAAATTGACACACCTCTCCTCGATATCAGCTCGGTTTAATGTTTATCATTAAAAATGTATTGCATAATACATGTAGGATAGCGGGAAATCTACAGGACGACGCGATGAATCATGCCAGGTGGTGGGAATTAGTGGAAACTGCGAGGAACTTGAAATGGATTGTAAAGCATTAAAATAATAGTATTAATACTATTATAATATGACACAGTGACACGAAATGTGTTTTAAATGACATGACGATAACGCGAACGGATTATACTCCCACGTAATTAACCGAGTTGACGAGCATGTCCGGGGACTCATAATTATTATTATTTTAAGCATATCAAGGATATGAAATATTATAGTACACACGGAGTTGCGACCGCGGACACGTATACCGTTAATATCGGCTCGAAGACATTATAATTTAGTAATATTTTAACAGTAAATATTATTTTTTATCAAAAAATTAAAAAAAAAAAAACAATTTATTTTTATTTTTTTTTCGTGTGAAACGTTTAAAATTAATGCCGACCTGCATCGATTAAATAGCAGTGTAATGTATACCTATATTGTATATTTAATCAATTAGCCATCAAACGATGAATTCGGCGTTAACGTGCGTAGTGCTTTTACCTATATAATTTTTAAACGAAAATCGTATTAAAAGTACCAATCATACGTGTATCATATATTAAAACTCGTTAAAAACAAAAACTCAAGATGGATAAATACATTAGGAAAAATTGTGACGTATAGGATAGGTAGTATAGTCCTATACTACCTATACGTCCGTATAGGTAGTCCTGTGGTACCCGTCTACCCATAATATATTTATGCGGGTTATAATTTAGACGTTTATCATTAGATATAATACGGAGGTACCCGACAAATTAATTGTCTGTGAATTATTTTCGTTTATAACCCAATTCAAAGGAAATAATATTTTTTATGTTTATAATGACGTACAGTGGCTGTCCGAATCATTTAAAAATATTATTTTGTATATAATAATATTGTCTTCGGCTATTTCAAAACTCGCAGTCGGTTATGATCACGGTCTTAGAATATAGGTTATAAGACTCAAGCTGGTTGATGAATACCTAACGCATTATTTTGTTAATAACGCGTAACTTTATGACGGAAACTATAAACTGTTGTAGAATGTTCATAAAACATTTTTGTGTGAACGATCGATGTTATACAACTATACAAGCGAACAAATATATAATAATAGTGTACGCCTAATATAAATATTGGTAGGTAGATGTACGAAAATTACATGCACATTAATTTACAGACTTATGCTAAGTAGGTGTATCACCCTATTGAAAACAAATGTGTAGCTCGAGGGATTAGAGTATTGTCGGTACTTATATGTACAATGTTTTATAGCTCAGCTCTAAACTCACAAAAATATACTCTCGTACAATATAATTCGTGTGCTTTTGTACGTCAAATGGCTAATACATGCGCATATAAGGTCAATTGTTCGGGTTGCCCTGCTCTTAAATTTCAACATATGGTTTGTTGAGTCTGTCCCTTTAAATTAGTCGCAATTTATATTCATTCGAGTTAATAGGCTAAGGCCAAATTATTTATCGTCTACTCGTCGTATAATTCATCGTGTAATAAACATTACGTAACCTATATAATATATTTTATTGCCTATTTACTTTCAATGAGTTGTCTTACGAATGTTAAATTACATTAAAATTAACATTTCGCCGCGTAATTATTATTGCTAGTATTTATTGTGTACCTAACTAAAAAAATTTATATGTATACATATATATAATATATTGATATTTGGTTTGTTAAAAATTTAATATGGAAATTATATCATTTCAGAATGTGGTGGACGATCACGGGCAATTTCGGCAATATTCTTCCGATCGATTGGTCCAAGTCATATGCGCGCAAAGTTCAATTGCCGGTACTCAATTTGAATAACAACCCACAGGTAAACCGAATAAATAAAATTCTAAACGATTAATAACTGCAATTTGAAATTTAAATAAATAATTCATTTTTTGAACAGGACGAGTCGTCAGATGATCTTAGTAGCGAAGACGAAGCAGTCGCTAACGACTTGGATTTGCACACTTTGATATTGTCGGGCACTAACGCAGACATCGAACCTCCTACTGCCGACGAAGTGATTAGAGAAATCGACGATATTATGGAGGTATTTGGTAGAATACATTATAATTATTATAACTTAATAATCGTAAAAAATATTTATATAACTACATTTTTGTTTCTTATACAGGAGGGTACGCCGAGCGAGTGTACTCCGGATTCTGAACATCATAAGGAGGTGCATTCGCCATTGCTTGAAGATAGTACGTTAATATTTACCTATCTACTGATTAATAATACTGTTTACTTTCAAAATGTTTGTTATTTATATTATTATTTATTTTTTTTTTTACGTAGAATTAAAAACATTAAATGTGTCTCAGCTTAATGAAGTTTACATGGAATTGGAGTTGCTGATTAGAGACTATTCAGAGACATTGATTACAGAGCTGGCCTTAAGAGATGAGTTGGAATTCGAAAAAGAATTAAAAAATTCTTTTATATCGCTTTTGTTGGCAGTTCAAAATCGAAGAAGACAATATCACGTTGAGAAAAAACGAAATTCAAGAGCAGGAAATGCAAATAAAAATTTAACTAACGAACCTAAAGTATGTTGTGTAAATATATTTGTAATTTATATTTAATTTGATTGTTTTATTTATATTTGGTACTATTGTTATAGTATCTAACCACCGTCATACCGTATCAATTGGACAATGGGCCTTTAAGTAATCAGGCACTCCAGGTTCTCATCAAAAGTAAGTATAAAACGATTAGAAAAAAAAACATGAATAAATACCTACTTATTTTAATGATTATAATATTATTAATAATAATTTGTAAATGCAATGGTTTTTTTTGTAGTATTAAAAGCAATCAACGAAGACAGTCCAACAGTACCAACATTACTAACAGATTACATTCTTAAAGGTAGATATGTTTTCAATTATTAAAAATTTTATATTTTAAGTATATTGAAAATTCAATGTACCTCAAACAATAATATTTACTTAACTTTTTTTAGTTTGTATAAATAAGCACATAAATAATTTTAAATTATATATTATGTAAATAGGTAAACAAAGATAACTAATGTTGATGAAGTGTATTTTTTCAATGACATTGACTCGTTTAGCATTAAATATCAAATAACAATACTAATTATATATAAATATGAATGTATACAAAATATACCTCTACCTTTATGTATATATATATATAATTTTTTTTTGTTTGTATTTAGTATTATGTCCTACATAATCGAAAACAGATCGGTAAAGTGAAATGGACAACAGCACTTTGAACTCTACGTGATATAACTTATTAAACAATAAACTTTTAATGGCATAATTCATAGATTTTTAGTATTAATATATAAGATCTTAATTGAGGTAAATTATTAATTAGACATAAGTAGTCGTATTTTATAAAAAGAAATAAAATAATTATTTCATAATTATTTACAATAGTAATTCTGTAAGGAAAAAAAATATTTTTGAAATATTTTCTTTCTTCAATCTATTTTCTTTCTTTAAAAGAAAAAAAAACTAATGTATAATAATATAAAAAAAGGCGAGTAATTTTTTTTTTATGTTGCCTTGTGCCTTTAGCAATAAAATATTTATAAATAATTATTATAGAAATTAATAAGTATCTAAAATATAATTGAATATTGTCATATTAAATTATTATCATAAAAACATAATAATTGGTGCTTATAAGAATATTAATTTATTAACTAATATACTCATATAATAATAGTGTCAACAAATATTAATAGTTACTATTTATTAAGGCATCTAAAAATGTTGTAAAAGTTGAGATCCAGTATTCAATTAATAGATCAAGAGTTCAGACTCACATTTTAAAAGATAAGAAAATTAAAAATATACCAAATTAATTATGAGACATAGGTCCTACATAATTTTTTGATTTATGGGAGATATATATCGTGTTGTGCTGGGACCAAAATGAGTGCAAATCGAGATGTGAATGGGTACCTACTTTGTATTTTTGTGTGTAATTTTTAATTTATAATTTTGCTGTAAAGTATTTTATCATGACATTGTCTATTTCTCAATTTATATTAGACTTATTTTTACTTAAAGATTAATTAGATTTACCTTAGCTTAATTTTAGTACATTTATTTTATTGTTTTGTGATATTTTTTTTATTTATGCTTGTATACGGTTTTAAATATATTTTTCTTTTTAAGCTTTACCAATTAATATTATATTGTTCAAATGTACCTATATTATAAAAATAATTTTTGTTTTCATTGAATATCAGATGCAAAATAATGTGTATGTCAACATAATATACCGCTCTCTAGTCATAATATTATATTATTTCTATATAAAATAATATTAATAAATGCAAAACAAATAATTTACCTGTATTTGTGTCATTATTAATCATATTTTTTATCAAAACCCCAAGTAATATATTGTGTGTTTGTACAGGCATCATATATTTATTCGTGTTTATGCACAATAACATTGCGTAAACAGATGCAATTAAAATTACATTTTATCAACATTAGATTTGTAATTACAAATTATTTTCTTATTTTATATTTTTTATGAGCTTAGAGTACATATTAAAATAGTTTCTTCAATAAATAAATAGATTTTATAATCAATAATGCAGTCTAAACTTAAAGAAACATACAAAACTAAAAACCGCTCCTACATGAAAACTTCTTAAAATTGTACAAAATATACTTAATAACCAATGTGTTTTATAATAAATGTCATTATAATTATAAAAATGCTAGGTTTTTAAAAATTATTTTCAAAGTAATAATTTAAATTTTTTCAACTTTGCAATATAAACATAACTCATATTGACTAAACCTTCATATTATTATTTAAAAAATTTGAAATTCAATTTTTAAGAAATAAAATGTTTAATTCATAACTACATGGCTATACTTAAAATATTGTAACACACATTTTAAAATGAAATAAAAACATATAAAATAATTTTCTAGGTTCTCTTTGTTTTCTCTATGAACAAAATTATGCTATCAATAATAATTTTATTTATATTTATATATTTTAACCAAGTTACTTACTTTCATGAGCTTAGGCGTGCACACGGATGTGCCTGGGCATATGACATTTTGTAATTAGAGCCTTAAAATTTAAGTCCTAGGGCAAAGGGCCCGTATTTTCACTGAAGTTACTAGAATAAAATATAATATTTTTTTAAATTCTAACATATATTGTCAAAATAAATCATGTTTCGTGATAAAAAAAAATAAAACGTAAAATATTTTTTATTTACTTGGAAAAACTTATGATTATAATAGCATCACTATTAAAATTATCAAAGTACAAATATTAAATAAACATTGGAATCATTGTAAAAATAGATATTAGATTCAAGGAGCAATGTACCTATTACCGACTGGTTGTTCGTTTAAAAGAGTATTTTCAAAATTAAATATTGTGAAAAGTTAATTAAGAAATACCATGGTCCAAGATCATTTGGAATCATTTTACTTTTCACGGAACAAGAAAAATGACCTCTAATATCGATGTAGATTTAATTATTAATGAATTTAATAATTTAATAATTTAAGTAAAAGGTACATGTTATAATATATGTCATTTTTGTATTAAATAAAAAAAATGTAAGTGATGTTTATGTGTACATTATAATGTTTACTAAATATGCATTAAGAAAGACTAATAAAAAGACCCAAACATATTTTAGGCACCCCCAAAATTCAGGTCTTTACACACCTATGTTCATGAGTCAATAAGGATATTTAAAATCTATTATTTTCCATGAAAACATTAACTCTAAGCATATTATGATACACTATGCATTTACAAAATTTCATTCCTCCTTCCCCTCATAAATTAGGGTCTGTAAGTGTGTAAAAAACTAAAAAAATAAATATTTTCTCTAAACATGGTGACATTTCAATCTAAATTCAACCAAAATTGTATTTTTTCAATCCACACACAATAAAATGATTAATTCCAGAGTTTACAAAAAGTGTCCAAAAGTACTAGGACAAATGTATACAAACTACAAAGTGATTCATTTAAATTGGTATACTTAATATTTTGAAAAGCTTTGTTAGTTGAATAGCACTACCCAAATGTCCTGCACGGACACATCATGCCACCAAACAAATTATTCTTCACTAGTTTCCTCCTACCTAAACTTAAAAGTGGAATATCTCATCAAGTTTGTAAGAATAAAAAATTTAAATACCAAAACGAATTAAACTAATAATCTGTTTATTTATGGAATTTTTAATATAAATTACTTTTTGAAAATCAAAAAAAATTCATTGTTTCAAGCCATAAATGAGCATAGTGCAACATTTTTTAAAATATATAATTCTATATAAATATTCCAACACATAAAAGTTTTTGTGTAAATGATTTTTTTTTAAAATTATTATTTCATGAAAAATTTGACTTTATAATTAATATGCCTGCGATTCACTGTAATTAACTATGGAAAAAAAATCCTTGTCATTTGACATACTCTGACTACTAATTAAATATTATAATAAGTTATACACCATAATAATATCCACATTTTCAAAAACTACACACATTTTTCCAAACATGTATTTTATGAAATTTTGGATTAAAAATAATATAGTGTACTCTTATATTTTTTATTTTAAGTTCTCCCATATAAAAATCCAAATTTTAATTTATATTAACTGTAGACATACTAAATGTTTAAAAAATAAATATAATAAGAATATTGAATAGAACAAAAGTTTTTAAAGTGTCAGATCATTGTGGAACACACTGTAGATAGATATATAGATATACATCTATATATAAATAACAAATGTATACATAATAACAGACTTAATACAATGTAATAGTCTATTTTTGGAGAACATTTTACAAAAAATGAAAATTGTATTATTAAATAAGGTTTATTTATTATTTAATTATACAATTTTAATTGAAAAATTTAATACACAAGCATTTTATTTAAGTAAAAATTATAGTATGATATTGTTTGAAAGTAAACAAAACATTTTACTTATACGCCATTTCGCAACATATTATTTCCTTTTGATAAAGTGATTACATTAAAATATACACTCATAAATAAACCAGTGATCTTGTGGAAATTAATATGTTAACAAAATATTATTTAAATAAACATGTATAACTTAATTTTAGGAACAATAGTTCATTTAGTATTGACTAGATTTAAAAAAATACAATTTAATTTTTGAAAGTTGACGAATATAATACATCTGAAACTAAGTTTTATTTATAATTTGATTATATTACTTATTAATCTAACTTTGGATTTTTCTTATTAGAGGAACTATTGGGAAGCATTGCATCAGAGATATCTTTATGTTCCACAGCTAAAATTGTTTTATTATGATTGTTCAAACTTTTTTTTTTCAACCTAGAAAATATAGATGATTAGATTATTCATTTTGCATTTCTAATTAATTTAATTAAAAAGTAAAAGAAATATTTTAATTGTTGTGTACCTATGTTTATCTTCAGTTTTCCAGCTACCAACTGCAATATGGGGTGGAGGAAGAAATGTTCTTAGTGACCGAACAAGATGAATTGTATCATTCAATGCTGAAATAATTTTCACATTAATATTTATCATTAAAAAGTATGTACTATGTATACTACCACATTTACTGGTTAATTGTACAATATAAACATTTTATATTAATTTTTAAAAACTGACTATTTATGTAGCTAGTCAAAACTATTTTTTTTTTTTAATGTTTTGATTTAAAAATATTATTTTAACTATTCATTACAGTGTAACAATATTTAGTGAATTACTTTTTTGCAATGATTCTGATTGTTTTCCATAAGGCTTACACATAGTTGGTCTTGTGCACACTCTCATTTTATTCATATTTTTCATAATTTCAGAAAATGTTTTAATAATTTTTTCCGGACAAACTGAAACGAAAAATAAACAAGCTATGTAATTTATTAGTTTCAATAATTTTACCTTGTCATTAGTAGTTTTTACTTTTGTTAAATCCCAAGAAAAACATTTTTATAGGGTACTGTATATGTGTAATAATATATAATTTTTAAGTTATACCAGTCTAAATGAACTTATTTTGGTTTATTAAACAGTTGAACAAAGAAAAATATACAATAAATTCCACAGAGTAAGTTAAATTTTTATAGTTTATAGTGTGAATAAGTTAGTTTTTAAATCAGTAATATGTAGGTAGACAGTATTTAAAATAATCAAAAATTATGGTTTTTATTTTTGCAATTACAATAATTCATATATATATCAATAATTTATATGTAGAAATAAATAAATGAATGCGTTGCTTGCAGTATTATATGTGTTTTGTACTATTCAGTCAATTGGGTCACGTTTTACTTTATGATTTACTTGATGAATTTTAAATTTGAAACTGGTTGTACAACAATGCATATCATAATACTCCAGGCGAGGCATTCAGTTATTTATTTTTACATATGAATTATTTATTTATAAATATTAACCATTTAATAATCTTGTTTTTACTTTATTATTTTAAAATAATTCATAATAAGTACTGTTTGTGATTCTATTTTACTCATATTACACTAAAAAATATACTTTTTTTACTGGAACAATAAAGATTACTTTTGTGCCATGATTTTTGCCGTAAAAAATAAGTTGTTTTAAAAAATAAAATAAAATCATGAGGCTGTAAAATAACGTGCATTAACCCATTTATCAATATAATTCTCTCATTTTATGTTTAATTGTGAATCCTTGTTTACGATTATGTTAGAAAAACTAACTACAAAGTAGTTTAAAAGTATTTGAATTACATTGTTGTTTAGCAGAGTTATTAGCAAGGGTACCGGAGTTTTCTACTATTATTTCAAAAAGGTTATGTTCATCTGCAACCTTTTGCAATAATTTCTTATAACGCTCATTTCGCATTTGTTGTTGTTTAGAAACCATAATGATTAATATTGTATTGTTATTTATTATTGACAACTGTATATTATTTTGTTATTGAACATCGTAGGTTTCACATTTCATTGACAAAAGAAAAATAATGCAAAATGATAAAGCAATAACACTGCGACTGTAGAAGGAAAAAGAGATAACCAACGTTCGTTGACACTTTGACAGCAATAATAGTAAAATAAAAATCAAAAATCGTCATAAATAATTTAAATTACAAAATCAAAACAAACCACAAATTAAAAATTATACAACATAAATAATCATTTTGAAGTAATCCATTATCATTGTGATATTAATGGTTATTTACGGTACGAACTATGAAACGAATTTCGTTACTAACATGAAGTTATAAACGTGGCAATAGTGTACAATTCATTGTCTATGGGCGCGGGTTTTTTATTTCCGTGATAAAAATGTTGAACATGTATTTTGGTACCTACTAATTCTTTAACATTTTTCCGTCAGAGTTGTTTGAAGGACATAAAGTTTGTAACTAGTAAATCGTCCCTAACCAATGTCCACAACACAATTAATAGCAGAATATCAAATTGACGTAAAATATTTATAAACTAATCCCGATCAAGTTTAATATTATTTATGAATTGAAAAATTCTAACTAGGTATATAAATGAGAATTGGTTCCTATTCGAATATTTAAGTAGATAATATTTTATTCGTCATTCATATATATTTTACATATTACAAATAATTCAAAGAATTTTATTACACAACTGCCATATCTATTTGAGATTTATTTGTATAGAAACTCCGTAGGTAATGCTGCAGTAGTAAAATTCCAAAGGCAGATTATAATCAGTTTTCGATTAAAGTAATAACGTCAACTATCTATATTATATAATTCTAGGGGGAAATATGCTACTTAATTATTTTATTTAACACTTCAGGAGTTCAGTCCATCGTCCATCAGCCACAACTCTATAAGTATAGATAAAACACATAATAATATATTTGCCAACTTTTTAGTTTATATCTACTGTTTGTTTTCGATTTTAACTAAATTAATAGGCCACCCTATTATACCTACATATTTTATCAGTTGCCATTGCGGAAAATTGTTTTTGAAATATTATTAATTTTTTATTTAAATAATTTACGTTTTAAAACAATAAATAAATGTATACATTTATAATACATATTGTATCTATTTAAAAAAAATTAGTACCTACCTATTTGATTACCCTATACTTATCCAAAACAGGAGTTCGAAAAAAATTTAAAAATACCAAATTCAATATTCTTACAGTTAATTTTTGTTCGAATCACTACATATCCGCATCGGTTAATAGGTACGTAAGTTCTCGTTATTGATAAAAATAAAAATATAGTTAAATAAGGTACTTAAGTAGATACTTATTGTATCTAGTTAAGTACTGTACTTAAGTAGGTATTTTAAGTACTTGCACACATTTTGAATATTTGACGTTACTTTAGCGTGACAGATAAATAATTCGAAGGTTTCATACGTCCATTTACAATTAGAAATGAAACAAAATGTACTTTAATTTCCTATGTATAATTGGGACCAAACTGTTGACCATTTGTATTTGTATGTAATTGAACACGGCCTACTCCTTCCTCACTTTTGAAATGTCTAAGATGTCTATAATAAAATCGTGACATTTTTTTTCGTTTGTTTTCTGGTGCTGTGTTTTTAATTTATTACATATATATAATATAATAAATACACATATTATTTACTGTATAGTATATTAGTAATGGTTAAATCGTGTTGTATGAGTCAAGTAACCAACCATTAGTACCTTAAAAGGTCATTAGTTACTACAGGTACATTAAATCAATTTTTTTTTTTTAAAACATTGTTCGGGTATTACCATACCACACATATCTCGTCGATCTTGATAAACCTACATCGTGAACTGACCCAACGTAATAATATCATTCTTGTTGCTATCAGGGGCACCGTCGCGCCGATGCCCGATAATAGTAATAAGACACATACGACTGTGTTACGAGAAATTAGATAAGAAATTGACTGTAGACAAAACAAGGCACGGTAAGTTTAATGTAATATATTTATTATTATTTTACTTGCATTATTAACATGTTTTTAATATTAATTAGTGTTTATTTTAGATAGTTATTTAATATTTACTGAAGTAATGATTTTTCTTGTTAAACCAGACATTTAAAGTTGATCCTCAATATTGATAAAAAATACGTTTATGAAAACTTGTTTCGCCATTCCATGTGATAGTGATAACGGCTAACCAAACAAATAGCAAATATGTCAACGGAGAATTGATACATTTTAGTTCAGTATTGGTGATTGTTGGAAGAAAATTGATGAAAACGATTTACAACTTATAAATGAACATTATTTAAACATGTAAGTTACATAATATTTTATTTATATTACAGCGTTTAGTACATACACAAGTAAACAAAAGTATATATTATTGGTATAATTGAATTTTTTTAAATAATATTTTAAGTATAAAACACTACCATAATAAAATCTTATATGCATAATAAATTGTAATTGTTCAGTATGCATTGATTTAATTGGTACTTATTAGAAATAATAGTTTTGTAAGATAAATCATGTATCTCGAAGATTAATAATTAAAATCAGCAACACCTACCAAATATTTATACTTGTCCATTAATAGTGTAGGTATAATTAGTTTCTCTAAATATTAAACCAAAACAATACATATAATAATAAAATTGGATCGCTTTATCTAGTAAATTGTACTACCTAAGCAGTATGTTTTTTTAGGCACATAATTTACATTAATTACTGTACATTTTTCAATTGATTTCTTCATGTAAACTAATCTTACTGGAACAATTTCTACTACTAGTTAGGTTATGTAGGAATATTATATTTATATAAAATAAATACTATCATGAGTATAAGAAATATGTTATAACTAGGGTTGTGGATTTAATGCAGTAAAAAACCTTAAAAAATGTATTTAGAAATTGTTTGAATGCTCAGAAAATTATAATTAAAAAGTTGAAGAAATTATCATTTTATTTGTGAGACAAATTTTCTGACACCTATAATGTGCTGGTTTATTGAACAATTTTTTTTTGCCATAACTCCACATCACATGTGTTTTAGTACAATATTTTACTAGGTTTACAGTAGAAAAATGCCATATTCATTGACATACCTCCGCAAATTTAATGAAGTCTGTTTTAAAGCTGAACAGGTACTAAGCGAAAATGCCTACATTGCCTAATAGTTTAAAGACTCCTACTAATATTAATACTAAAATACTATAGATTAGTTAATATATTCTAGAAATTCACTACTGATATATAAGTACTATATCAAAATTGTGAAATTTTTTATGATGTCATAAATAAACAAATTTAATCCTAATCGCTTATCTTATCGCATTGTGACAAATTAAATGTTGTACTTACATGCATTATACAGCTTGGATATTATTTATAAAATATAAGTATGACTTATATACAACTTGTGTAAAATAAGAAATATGTGTATAAAAATGATAATTGACGGAATTAGCCAAAAAAAAGAGTAAAATGCACTAAAAGGGAAAAAAATGCCTTTCAAAGGTAAAAAAATATTTAAAAAAAATTAAGCATCAAAAAATGCATAATAATAGTAGAACAGTCTGGTTCTTTGTTACATGATTCAAACTTTGTGCCAAGAAAGCTATGTATTACAATTAGTTAAAAAAAATACATTTATCTACATTTTTTACAACCCTAGTTATTGCTATTGTGATCATTTATTTTTACATCATTTCAACTAAAGGTCTATTATAATATTAAATATATATAATTATTATTTAATGTTAATATCATTTTTAAATTCCTATTAAAAATTATAACGTGTTTAAAACTATATTTTTCCTAATTTCTTTTTTTTCAGATTTTATTGAGATCAAATTGGTGAACTATAATAATTAAAATCATAAATCGCTGAAGCAGTAAGTTCATCACATTAATCATAACAAAATTTCCATCATTGTCATCTAATTTGTCAGCCATTTGTTTATATCAATCAATATTAATATGTTGAAAATGTGCACTTAAAAAAGATTCTCATTAGCTTTAAGTGTAAAATATGTCTATATTATGATTTTAACAAGCAACACAACCACAATGAATAGTTCAGGTCAAAGTAATGAATCCGTAAGCAAGGTGTGTGGCGATCTTCTGAGTAGTTCTGCATGGAGTGCTGTAATTCATCAACCTGCCCATGATTCTGATTTGGAAGATTTACCATCAACCGTTGATATGGATGCTATACTTAAAGATCCCATTTCAACACCTCATAATACTATAACTAATCAATTAGTTGATTTTTCTGAGTCTGAGTCAGAATCTGATTCAGAGTCTGAAAAAGAAAAATATTGTACAAAAAAATTTGGTTACTCTTCTGTAGATGATGATAATATTGATGATTCATCTGATACTTCATTTTCATCGTATGTGCCTTGGTCAAAGCGAAAAGGATTGGATAAACAAAAAAGAAGTAAGGATTCTTTAGAATCTCATGATTCGAGTTCAAGTTCAAGTGATGAATCTAGCTCTTCATCTAAGTCAACAAATTTTGTAAAACAGCCAATTTTTGATGGTACTTCTAGTGATGGTTCAAAAAAAAAAGAATTCTGGCAAGAAGAACCAAAGAAAACATTTTCTTCGAGTTCAGAACTTGATAAACTTGAAAACTTAGAACCTGAACATTTACAAGTTATTAACCAAGAAGATTTGGCAGAAATTTTATCTGATGTTCAAAATCAAAGTTTTTCAACTGGATTCGATGATGTTCAGCCGAAAAACTTAAGTGATAGCAGTGACTCAAGTGATATAGAAATTAAAGATTGTATTGTAAATGATGCGATTATACGGTTAAATAATACTTCTGAAGATGAAAATAAAAAACCAGCTTATTCTTCTAAATTGTTGAAAGACTTTGTAGAAAAAACAGAAAGTCCAATACAGAAACCAAATAGCAAAACCAATTCTCATTCTTTAGAAAATAAAACAGTCATCGATAAACAAAAGGAAAATTTAACAAAAAGAGGTAGAGGAAGACCCAAAGGTGCTAAGGGACATAAAATTTTGCAAAATGTTTTACCCAAACTGTCAGCGAATTTTAAGCGTGGCCCTGGTCGACCAAAGAAAATGCCTCCACTTTTAGAACCAAACAGTCCAACTACTAAAAGTTTAAATTATGAGTCTCCCAAACAAGAAAAAGTTCATAAAAAAAAAAAAAAACATAAGAAAAAGAAGAAAAAGAGTAAGAAAACATTGAATCCTAAATTTCTTGCTGAAATGGAAAATCTTGTTGTTTTGTTTATTCAATGTTTAAATATATCTAAAGTTTCTGATAGTATTAGAGGTAAATCTAGCTCTTTAAAGTCAAAACAAAGAGAGAGATCTAGTAAAAAAAGGAAAATTGATAAAACCAGTTATAGTGATAACGACATTGATAAAAAAAGGAAAAAGGGATCTCCAGATACATCAAGAGATTCTGAAACTACTAATGATCAACGATTGCCATTAAAAAAACGGCATTATCATATAACATCATCAACAGGTGCTGGAGTTACATATGTTGAAGATGTATCTAGAGATGAAAATTCTGGTAGTGAATCTGATGATAATAAACAGCATAAAATATTAAAAAATAAATCTGAAGTCAAGAAAAAGTCTGGCCTACGAAGTAATTCTGCAAACCCTGAAATTAAAGCAAAAGATGAACCAAAACCCAAAAAACCACCTGCGGGGGTATTTGTACCAACAGTTGAAATGCCGAGTTTGCAACTGAAAAAAAAAGTAGATGAAAATAATATTAAAAAAGTAAAATCACTTAAATCTGAAAAAGAAAATCCAGTAGGAAAATTAAAGAAAAGAAAAAAGTGTATAAACAGGACTGGATTTCCTATAAAGAAAAAAAAGAAAAAACGTCAAGAACTTGCAGCATCTGGAGATTCACTTTTTAAACATAAAACTGTTGAACAACCGCTTAAAATGGAACATACTGAGACAACACCAGAAAGAAGAAGTATTCGTGCTGTTGTTCTTAAAAGGTTAAAAGATAAAAAGAAAGACGAAAAAGAAGATAGTGATGCATCTAGTGTAAGTATACCAAAAAAGTTTAAAAACGACAATGTAGAAGTAAAAGCACAGAAGAAAAAACCTGATAAAAAACACTCTATACAATCTTGGAATTATAGAAAATTAAAAACAAATGTTTATTATGATTTCAAACCAATTTGTACTTACGAAGCACAAGCTTGTAATTGTACTATACCGACTGAAGGTAAAGGTTGTACTGATGATTGTATAAATAGACTAATATTTGCTGAGTGTTCACCGGATCTTTGTCCCTGTAAAGAAAAATGTTCTAATCAATGTATACAAAATCATAACTGGGCACCAGGTTTGGTTAAGTTTATGACCGAGGAAAAAGGTTGGGGCATTAAAACTACACAAGAAGTAAAAAATGGGGAACTTTTATTAGAGTATGTCGGTGAAGTAGTCAGTGAACAAACATTCAAGGACAGAATGACATCTATCTATAAAAATGATGTGCATCATTACTGTTTAAAATTAGATGGTGGATCTGTTATTGATGGTCACAGAATGGGAGGCGAAGCGAGATTTGTAAATCATGCTTGTGAACCTAATTGTGAAATGCAAAAATGGAGTGTTAATGGATTATTTCGAATGGCATTGTTTGCTTTACGCGACATAAAACCTGATGAAGAATTATGTTACGACTATAATTTTTCTTTATTTAATCCAGATGAAGGTCAATTGTGCAAATGTAAGTCGCCAAAATGTAGAGGTGTAATTGGAGGAAAAACTCAACGAATCACTATACGCTCACCCAGTGTTACAAAACATAACAACCAAACAACCAATCGAAATCGTTCTAGAAAAGCTACACCTAATACAAATACTTCTCCTAAAAAGTCTACATCTATTGTTAATATACAACAAAAACTTGTATCAAATGCACCTATTGTAATTGGTAAAGAAGAAAAAGATTTAATCTTTCTTCATAAAATATGTTTGTATAGAAATATTATGAAAATAGAAAAAATTAGAAAAAAACGGAGAGGTAAAGATAATAAACCAAAACAACCCGAAGTATTTAGAGCACAAATGAATGCTCTTAATAATAGTTGTTCGGTGAGAACTAGAAGACTAGCAACAGCGCAAAATGATCCAGAAATGGAAAAAAAGGCGAAGTTAGCTACAATATTTAAACAACTTTTTGATATAATTTGTAATGCTAAAGAAGAAACAGGTGAATTACTTGCTACACCATTTATAACTTTACCAACAAAACGAAGATTACCTAATTATTATCAAAAAATATCTGATCCTATTGATTTAACTACTATTGCTAACAATATTGAAATTGGAGTTTATGATACAGTAATAGGATTTGATTCGGATATTTTGAAATTGCTTACTAACAATATGAAATATTATGGACGTACATCAGATTTGGGTGTAATAGCCACTCGTCTACGTAAGATTTATAACTTAGCCAAATTGGAATTTGTACCTAAAATTGAAGAAATTTTAGAAAAACATATTCCAGAAGCTTTTATTGCAGAAAAAAACAATCCTGGTGGTGACCAAGATGATGTGGTACGATGTATTTGTGGTTTGCACGAAGAAGAAGGTCTAATGATTCAATGTGAACGTTGTTTAGTGTGGCAACATTGTGATTGTATCAAAGCTGATCCTGGAAAAGTAGAATATTACTTGTGTGAACGTTGCAATCGCCGAGAAGTTGACTATGAAATACAACTGCCAGAACGACCAAGCTATGCTGAACCTGGAGAAGTTCACTATTTAACATTAATAAGAGAAGATTTACAAATTCGAGTAAACGATACAGTTTATGTACTAAGGGATATTGTAAATCCTGAAAGTGGCAAATCACATTCTTTTAAGACTATAAAGAATTTTAAGTATTCAGATTGTGATATATTTAGAGTAGAAAGATTGTGGAAAAATGAATCCGGTGAACGTTTTTCATTTGGGCATCATTATCTTAGACCGCATGAAACTTACCATGAACCGACACGAAAATTTTATCCCAATGAAGTGGTTAGAGTACCAATTTATGAAAAGATATCATTAGATCTTATTATGGGTAGGTGTTGGGTTCTTGATCCTTCTACATATAGTAAAGGTTATCCTATTGGAGCGGAACATAAACATCTTTATATATGTGAATACAGAGTTGATAAGTGTGCACGAATGTTTGCCAAAATGAACAAATCAAAAAATTCACCAATTTGTACTAAAAGTTATGCTTTTGAAAAGTATGATAAAAAATTAAAATTAGCAAGAACATTTGCTCCTCACGGTCTTATGGTAAAAGTGACTAATAATTCTACTGCAACCCCACGACCACGGCATATAGAAACTACAGTAGTTAAAACATCAAACAAATTATCCAAAGCTCAATTTTCACTTAAGAAACAAAGGTTGGATACACTTTTAACAAAACTACTAGCCAAGTTACCAGAAGAAGACAAAATTGATATCACATATTTACTCGAACCTGGTAGAAGACATAGAAAAAAACCATCATTTTTAGAACTATAATAGGTAATAAAGTATTTTGATATTATTGTGATTCAATGAACTAGATTTAACAAATATGTGTCATACAAATAATAATGTTGTTTTATTTTAATTATTTAATTCATAATTTTATTTTTTAAATAATTAAATTAAAATTTTTCTTGGGCACACTAAATCTTTATTAATTATAATGTTTTAATTACTTAATTTACTATATGTATTTTTATATTTCATCAGTATTATTTATAAAATCAAATATAGTGTAGTTTTATTAAATTATAACAATATGTGACATATTATTTGATATTTATTATAATGTTTAATTTAAATAACAATACCTAAATAGTGTTTTCCACCTATTGCACTGTTTCACCCAGGTTGCACTGAACATATTACTGATAAATGGTACCGACCCCTCAATCTCATAAGGTTATTATTGCATCTGACATAGAAAATTTGTTCAGTGCAATGACATAAAACACACAAATGTACATTAGTGCAGTAAAGCAATGTGATGGAAAACGCTATATAATGCATACCATTTTTAAATGATAATTTTAATTAGATACCAAAATATAAGTTATCAACAATTTTCTCAATATTGTTATTGTTATTTTTTTTTTTTATTATTATTATTATTATTATTATTGTCATCATTATTTAACTTTTAAGAATAATTTGAAAAGTATTTTAGTATTTAAAAAAATATTATAGTTAAGGTTAAATTTTAAATTATTTTATTTAAAACAAAAATCAATGTACATTAAATATTTGAACTGTTAATATGTTAATACACATTAATAATGATGTTTTGATATGATATAATTATGACATTTGTTAATTGTATTACATTATAAATAATTTCAATACAAGATTTTAGTATTTATTTAGTTTAGGTGTACATTTCACTTCAGCTCTTTATTATACAAAAAATCAGTATAATGTTATATAAAATACAAATGTGATTTTTGAATACTCATTATTTATAAAGATGAGCCAATATGAAAATTTGTTGTAGAGATACTTGATACAATAATTCAACGTAATAACTGAAAGCCACAAACTGATAAATTAACAAATAAAATTATACTTATAATATTAGATAAGATTTGTTTTCACTGTCATTTTCAAAATTTAACCAATAAAGACATAGTCATATACACCTATTATAAAACAATAAATTAAAAAATGATGCTGTTTTTTAGTTATCTATAGTCAATAAAACAATATTTCATATTGGTTCATTATGATTCCCACTTTAAATTAATAATTGCTTGTGCCACCTATATTTACTCATACAAATAGAAATGAAAAATCACTATACTAACAAAGTAAAATTTATTTAACAATAGGGGTTTCTAGTTTTGTGTGTTTTGTACAGGCTAAAACTGAATGGAGCTGCGCCAACGAGGTTATAGGTCCAACCAGAATCAACAAATGGAAAGGTTTCAAGTTCTTGAAAATCCCACCTGCAGTACTAAAGATGAGGTTATCAGAAATCAAAAATGTCTTTCAGCTATACCAACTACTTTAGTTACATCAGCTGTGTTATTAATTTTAAATGTGTTTGTATACTACATGGACAACAAGTTACCTAGTACTGTCGAAACAAATTCAATGAATGATGGTTTTGTTGCTCAACGTGCTATGTCTACATTAATCAAATTAGCAAATTTAGGTGAAAGACCAGTCGGTAGTGATGAGAATGAAAAATTAGCTTTCAATCTATTTAAAACTGAAATCAAGGATATTATGAATGCATTAAGTAATGTGAATGAAATTAAAATGTTTAATCAAAAAGTAAGTGGTTCATTTCCTTTAGATATGAATAATTTGAAGTACATGTTGAGTTATGAAAACTTGCAAAATGTTGTTGTTAAATTAGATCCCAAAAAAGGCATAAATGATGCAGTATTATTAAATTGTCATTTTGATTCGGTGCCAGGAGGACCTGGTGTTAGTGATAATGGAGTTAATTGTGCTGTAATGGTCGAAATATTGAGAATTTTAGCAAAAAGTCCAGATTTAATTAGACCAATAATATTCTTATTCAATGGGGGTGAAGAAATAATACTTCAGGCTTCTCACGGTTTCATAACTCAACACCCTTGGTCTCAAAACGCAAAATACATAATAAATCTGGACAGTTGTGGGGCTGGTGGCCGAGAAATAATGTTTCAGACTACGCAATTGGATTCTTACCTAGTGGATTTGTATGCCCACACGGTTCCGCATCCATACGGACAAGTGATGGGCGAAGAACTGTTTCAATCGGGTATAATACCATCGGATACGGATTTTAGAATATTCAGAGATTTCGGAAACATGTCTGGCCTTGATATGGCGCATTACAAAAACGGATACGTCTATCATACAAAGTATGATAATTTAGATCAAATCGATTCATCGGTGTTACAGAACACTGGGGAAAACCTATTAGAGCTCACCAAAGTGATATCGTCGCACAATGCGACCAAAACTCAGAAATCCAAGTACGTGTTCTTCGACATATTGGGAGTGTACATGTTCTCTTATAAGGAAATGTCGGGAGCCTTCGCCAACTTTTTAATAGTTTTAATGTCTTTTTTCTCGATTTTCCTATCTCTTCGATTCACAACGTTTGGAATGAACCGTAGACAATACAGCGTACATTTACTACAGACATTAGTAATCGGCCCGTGTTGTACATTTTTATTTTCTATATTATCGTGTTTATTAGTGGCGTTCCTACTGGATTTGTCCGGTTGTTCGATGAGTTGGTATACCAATAAAATAAACTTGACCGTGTATTACGCTACTGCATCGTTGGCGATATTTTCTGTAACGATATTTCAAACGAAAAACGAGTCGAGAACATACACGGAATGGACCGTATCGGTACTAAACGGGATTCAATTATTCTGGACAGCCCTGTTGTTCATAGGCACCATGGCGGGACTGCGGTCCAGTTATTTGTTTATGATTTTGGTCATTTTTCCGTCGGTTACCAGTTGTATTCTGGGCATACTCAATGTCCTGCAACGAACCCCCAAACTGTGGATAGCCCTATACACGACATCCTTACTGGTGCCGATCACTTTCGTGTTCTATTTGAATCAAATATTTCTTTCGCTTTTCGTGCCCGTCACCGGTCGTTTCGGTTCGAACATCAATCCCGATTACATTGTCGGTGGATTAATAGCGATGTGTACGTACGCGACGGTCGGCTATATTTCGCCTGTAGTCACGTTGGTGAAAAACCCACGGGCCATATTGGCCTCCTTGGGCGCAGTGGTGTTGATGTCGATGGCGGTCGTCGTGTTTTCGTCATTCGGATTTCCGTACTCGGACGGCACCGTACTGCCCAAGACCGAACGTTTCGACTTGATGCACACGCGACGGACGTTTTACGGTTTCGACAAAAACGTCCGGCGCAACGATACCGGATATCTGATTGTGAACTGGGACCGGCACAGTCCTTGGACCGTCGCCGAACACGTGCCGAAAATGAAAGAAGCCGTAGCCGCCGATCCGGACTGCGCCCGGGAACTTTTGTGCGGATCACCGATCGTGGGCAAACTGGCCAGGTACTCGAGCTGGATTCCGCTGCGGCACGAACTGTCTCCGGGATCGCTACAGAGTTCGGGTACTACGAAAACCGACGTGGTTCTGCACGACCTAGGCGACAATCGCCGGCGGATCGAGATTAACGTCACCGGGCCGGAAAGAATAAACGTGTACATCAGTCCTTACCCGGGCACGAGGTTGGACGCGTGGAGTTTCTCGGGCGAACCGCAAGTGGCCACGCGATGGGAGAAAAACGACGTCTATGTGATCAGGCATTCCAGGGCCGGTGAAGCAAGCGTGTGGAACTTTTGGCTGGAAATGCACAGCGATTATGGTTTTGAAAGAAAAACTGTCAACATAACCGTGGCTTACAATTGGGTTATCAAAAACAAATTGGTACTGAACGACGAATTCGAAAAGTTTGCGAATTCGTTCCCTCGGTGGGCACACGTTAATTACGCAGAAGCTAGTGTTGAGGCTTTTGTTTATTAACAAAGTAGGTATTAGGTATCAACCACTTATAAATACTTACCTACCTATTTATAAATAGGTATTGTCTTTTCTCAGTTATTTCATCTCAAATATTAAATACCTACCTGCCTTCATTTGTTGTATACAATATTATTGTATATAATGTTAATCTAATATTATACAATAGTATATTTGTCTATACTTAAGTTTTTAGATTACGTTTTTTACTATTTACATAATATATAAACATTCTGTCTATAAGATCTTCTGTAATGGTGCCTTTTTTTAAATGTAATATTATAACCAAGTACATGTGCATTTATCTATGCCGTACTATATTGTACTGTTAGGGATCAATATCATTTATTTTAATGTATTATGTTAAAGTACCTACCTATATCTATAAATCATTTTAAAATGTATAAAAAATTTTACTTTACAAACAAATAGCTGATTCGTATAGATATCTACCTAAAAGTATTATTAATTTTACATTTTAATTTATGTAAAATTATATTATATTTTTAAACAAATTATTACCTACCCATAGGTATATCATGTTCATAATTTCATACTAATAGTCAATTATTAGGTATTTTTGTAAATATACCTATTTTTATTATAATATTACCTACAATGTAATAAACTTTAAAGCATTGTTTACAAATTAATTAAATTACCTAATTATTTGTCTAGTATGTAACACCCTTGTGTATTATCGAAGTGGAAGAAGAAATAAAAAGTCAGAATGTTTGTATGCTTGTACGTGTAAATTTGGTAGGTTCTTATAAAAAAAACAATAATTAATGTTAATAATTTATTTATTTATAAATAAATGTTTATATATTGTTAGTAATATTATACCTACTCAAACTAAAGGTGTGTAAATTAGTTTTAATTGTGATATGTAATTTTTCTCCACTAGAAAACAATCGCAGGGCGTAAAAAACAGAAATTGTACCTATTATCGACTTTTTTGGTTGGTATCTATAGTCAGTGACGCTGTGAATGGGTATGTTATGGAACAGTAGTCTTCAGCTGGTGTGTCACAATCCAATTTTGGTTCGTGATAAGTATTCTGTTTAAAATTTAAAAAAAAAATGGAGATTATACAAAATTTAATAAGTGTATACATTTTACTTCTACTAAAGTACTAAGAAAAAACATTTTATGTATCTACTGTATTCTTCCTATGTTCAGTTCCGGCGCTAGGTTTTGTGGAACCTTGGGACAATGCTTTAGTATAACTAATGATTGTGTATCTGTATAATAATATACCAAAACAAACATGGGGCTTTGAACTTTGTCCTATTTGTCTTCCCTTAGCGCCGTTACTGCCTACGTTCAAAACTACCATTAGATGACTGGTAACGAAATTAATATGGGGACCCATTTAATATGTCTGCGTTTTATAGATATTACTGTTGTGTCGTCGTGTTCAGAAAAGCGGTTTTTTACTATGTCAAATTTGAAAATGTTAAGAAGATATTAACTTCAAACAGAACATGATTTGCATTATGTAAAATCGAGCTGAGATTGAGTAGGTACCTACTTATGTTATGTGAAAACAGTCTTCAAATATTGTACTATTTTCCTTTTCTGTATCATTGCATGTAATAAAAATAAAATATTAAGTATGTTCCTAGAAAAATGTAAATTTATGTATACATTCAGTTTAAAAATCACTTCTACATTATTTTAAGACATTAAGCAATTTTAACTTTTTTTTTTCTTTTCATTGCTATCAAAGCTGACATGAATTGTGAAAAATGTACTACCTATGTTAAAAAGAGTGAATCAAAAAGATTGAAGACTACTGCTATGGAGCAGCTGCTGATTCATAAACAAAATAGGTGGGTTAGGTTAGATGCATTCTAGTACATTCTAAGTACATCTATGTGTGATATTATATCATTAGATATGTTAACGAAATAAATGAAGTACAGCCAGTACATGAATGTCTTAGCAGCCCTCCAACTATGTTGGGCTTATGGTAACTAGGTAGGTATGTTACAACACAATATAAAAGTATGGAAATTTTAACTATATAGTAAAATGCTTTATGAATAATTTAATTTTTATTATTAAGTGTTGTTCAAAATTGTATTCATAATTTCTACAACAAGCACAAATGGTGAAGATTGTGATTTTTGTGGGTTTTATAAATTTGTTCAAATGAGAAATATTCTATTCACAGGTATTTTATGCAAAAAAATTATAATATTTTACAGCTTGATATCTTTCAAGATATTTTTTAAAATTGAGAATCCAGCAAAAAAAAAAGAACATACTGAGGATGGGAGCAGCCACGGTTGTAGATGAGAAGTTGGGAAGGTAGGATATATAAGGTTATTTCATTTATATCTGTAGGTAACGATAAACCATTACTTGACAAAAGACGATCCTAGCGCAGTTTGGTAATATATAATTTGAAGTGCAGTAATTTTTTTGCGATTTTCGTTTAAATTTGATTTCAAAACAATTATTAAAAAAAAAAAAAAATCGACGATTTTAAAAATTTTACCATGTTTAGGTAAGTCCAATATTATTACCAAGTTTCAAGTCTAAGTGTATTTATAATCGAATTACAGCAAAAATTATAATTCCTTTAAAGCTCAAAAGTTTTGCCAATGATACCGTAAGAAAGTAAATCAAAAAGATAACTTGTGATTTTTTGATTAAATCATTTTTTTTTTGGTAGAAAGCGTCATCTGTGTTTTTATAAATTAATAAAATCGTGAAATTGTCCGTTTTTTCTCACTTATGTGCTATTATTTAAAAAATGGCGTCAAAAATCGAAAAAAAATTTCTTTAATGTCCAATTTAGACAACTTGAGCTTTCAGAAAAGGTACTAAACGAAAATTCAGAGCAAGTTTACTAGGAAAAAACGTGACTAAAATAAAGAAATAATAAACAGCATTGTAAAACCAATATTTTCCTCGCTACGTTCGGAATCTAAAATAAGTTATTGTTTGAATGATTTTTTAAGAATATCGTGTGACTCGTGGCTATAAATCGATTATTTCCATTTGAAGCTTAACAGGAATATATCCAACGTACAATACATATTATTCAATAATTTATATAGATTGTGTAATATTGAAGAAGATAGCAAAAAAAAAAAAAAAGAGAAACCATTATAATTAAATAAATTAAATCCTGTAATTTTGGGAGCAGGCTGTCTGTTATCAACCACAGGCTTAAATCAGGTACTTATATTATTGTTTGTTGTGATATAAACTTCATCGCTATGTCTCCATAGAATTCCATTCAAGTTAAACCCATTGAACTGTATAATAACGTTACATTATATGATATAGTTCAATGGTTAAATTCAAAATGGTATATTTACTATTAATTAACTATTACCACAGATTAAAATTAAAAATACTATGCAGTATGCTATTACTTAATATTTTCTTTATATAATGCTCATTTTTGAGTCACTTTTAAGAGATAATGTTATCAGTAAATAATCATATGTCATGACGTTATCATTAGAACTAGTATTTAGCAATTCCTTTTGTATTACGTTTCATTGAGTTTGTCACAATTAAATTTATTTGGAAGTATCTAATAATTATTTCTAAATTATTTTATTTTATTACTATTTTACAGTAATAATAATAATTATTACCTATTCTGACATTGCAAATGGCAGCGATGGAAAGTATCCTTTTTTAACATTAATAATATACATTGCTTGAAATTGAGACTTAAAACATATTTTTTATGGTTTATGTCATTATATCTTGATTTTTATTTAATCTATGACTAATAACTAATGTTTTAATATATAATTTTTTCCTTAATAAGCCGATTAGATCATTTATTCAACTTGAAATTTGCGGTCAAAGAATTGGAAAGAAATTCAAAAAAATGTGAAAAAGAAGAGAAAGCCGAAAAATTAAAAACAAAGAAAGCCATACAAAAAGGCAATATGGAAGTAAGTGATATACATTATAATAATCATTATTTATTGTGTTATATGTACCCAATAATGGTTTGTTATTAGAAAATTAATTATTTGGTAATACGATTATGAATAATGATAAATTATGTTGATATGACGCAAAGTCATAATATTATTGTTCTTTTATATATACTTAGGTAATATATTATTGTTTCTTGATATTTTACTTTTATTCTATTCTGGAAAATAAATAACAGATTGAAAATTATCAGCTTTCTAATTTCAAAAAACTAATGTGGTAAATAGCTTAACTAATAACTTATTAAATATTAATGACATTAAAATTTTAAAATAAAACATATATGATTTATTGAAGGCTACAATATATGTTGTACTGTACCTATTTGGTATATTAGAAGTGATATTTGCAATATTATTTTAGGCACCTTAGTATATTTTTATCTACTAACATTTATCTAAGGACACATTTTTAATTATGTAGTAGGTGTATCATTTTATATTTTATGGGTACCCACATTTTTCAGGAATGTTATTTATTTACATCAACAAATGTTTGTTTTAAAAATGATACCAAATTACTTTTAGGTTGCTCGCATACATGCTGAAAATGCTATAAGACAAAAAAATCAGTCTCTCAATTATTTACGTATGAGCGCTAGAGTAGATGCGGTTGCTTCAAGAGTTCAAGGTGCTCTTACAACTAGAAAGGTAATTTTAGAATATATTATTTATTGATTCATTATTTTGATTTTTATTTACTATGTGATTGAAGTAAATTGTAAAACTTTAAAATCATCGTAAAAAATAAACATTACAAATTGTATAATATTTTATATTACATAAATAGATATATTTATAATAGTTTTACATATTTGTTCGCATCAGACATCATTATTTGTAATTTTCAAAGAATAATGAAATCTTATTTTTTGATATGAATTAAATGGACTTGTTATTATGAAAATAAGATTCCTAACATCTATAAATTAATTTTAAAAAGAATTTACAATAGTAAATCCAAGTTAATCAGGATGGAAATGTTTAACATCGTATAAAAACTATAAAATGAAACATCTTTTACTTTCAATTAATATTTTAATATTTAGGTGACTCAAAGCATGGGAGGTGTTGTTAAAGCAATGGATGCAGCAATGAAGTCTATGAATCTTGAGAAAATTTCATCATTGATGGATAAATTTGAGAACCAGTTTGAAGATTTAGACGTTCAAAGTTCTTACATGGACAATACCATGTCTCAAAGTACTACCACAGCTGTACCGCAGGGAGATGTTGAACATTTGTTGCAACAAGTTGCTGATGAAGCTGGGTATATAATTATTATTTGTGTTCTAAATTATATTTTATGTTTTGTATATTATATTATGTTTGTTAAAACATTTTATTTAATATATTATATATTGTTTACTTTTAGCTTGGAATTAAAATTAGAGTTGCCCACCAACCCTCAAACTATCAGTTCATTATCTTCTACTACAACAGAACAAGACGAGCTAACACAACGTTTAGCTCGCCTTAGACAAGCAGAATAGAACCCACAAGTAAAGATATTTTGATTCACATTTAAATTATAATGATTATTTACAACTTGATATTTTTTTTATTTCAAACTTTCGTGAAACTTTTTCTAAAGTTCATTGTCCAATTGAATATTATACCTTTTTATTATATAATTTTGAATAAACAATTCATTAACTAAATTAAATTTTTAATTTAATTGATTATTCCGTAGTATTGTTTATATTATATTGTTTTGTGTGTTGGCAAGACAACACAGTACAATTTTATTCATTTTAGTTAAAACATATTGTTATTATTCATTTATATAATTTTACATTATTTTATTTTGGTATAAATCATAAAAGTAAGGTATTTGTTACATGTGTATTATATAATGAAAGATAAATGAATTTATAATAAAATTTTTAATAGATGCACAGTTAAGACATATATTTTGATTATACATTTTAGGTTTTACAAATAATATACACTAATAATTAATTTGTTAAATAAAAAAAATAAAATAATTATTTTATTATTATAATTTTATGTAATATTTATCATTAAAATATATTCTTATGTATAAAGATATTTTAGATTTAGAGCATAGCGAGATTTCATTTTCTGCCAGAAATATTGCACTAATAGAAAAACAAGAGATCTTTTTTATTGAACTTTTATGACCATGAAAGTTGTTTTTTAATTTTCTTGGTACTTACGAAAATAATTATTTTAAATTTTGTTTTTTTTTTTGTAATTCAGTTACAAATATTTATGTAGATTTAAAATTTTGTGAAAAAACTTAAAATTGCCTTTTCTAGAGGTTTTAAAATTTTCAAAACATTTAAGCTATTGTTGAACTATTGGTAAAACATTTTAATTTTACGAGTTTTAAGGTAATTTTTATTAAAAATACTGTGGATAAAATTGTTTGACTAAAAAAAAAAAAAATGAACAAATGATTCATATAGCGGAAAAAAAAAGATGTATATACTTTGCGCTATGGGTGCACTATATTTCACATAGAAACGCGGTTTTTATTACATAAAGAACTTTATCTAAAACTAGAATGTTTTGACACTCATAGGTTCTAAGAAATAGAAAAAAATGGTGTTTCGTCAAATGCACTAAATAAAAAAATGTCCAACTATTGCCTACTTTAGATAGAGGTAAACCTAAAATAGAACTCGTATCATTCACTATATCATGGCTATTGATTTGTAAAACAAATTTGCTTAATGCATATGATAGTTTAGTTGAAGATAATATTGAAGACAAATGGATAGACATCGATCTCAATAACTCTAAAAAATGTACTAAAATTGAGGCATGTAATGGATTTTTGAAATGTGCCTTATGTATATTAAGCAGAGTTTAGTATGTATTCTATACAGTGCAAGGAATTGCATATTGTTTATAAATATCTGCTTACTCTGCCACCAGGGGCGTACCGAAGAGGTTTTTATTGGGGTCCAAAGTTAGTAGTTTGGCTAACTCTAAATATTGATCCGGGATAACTTGTTTTTATTATTTTTCCAGAACCATTTCATTATTATGTTGTTAAAATGTTTTAATTATATAAGTAAATTAAAAATTCAAATTATAATACTAATAGATTATAAAAATATATACATTACCATTAACTATAAAAATGTGCAGTAAAATAATAAATACTTAATAATAAAATATTTAATTTAATATATTAATAGATGGCTTTAGGGCCAGTAGGAATAATTATTAATATCTTTAATTTTCAATCTTCGTGTATACAATTTCAATTTATTAGGATAAAATATTTATTTTTAAAATGGCACAGTAAAATGCTTTCGTGGTGAAATAGCAATAGCTAATTGTGTGTACCGCTAAAAAAAATAAAAACCTTCACGGTACGCCCTTGAATATAATATATTATAATATCATTTGGACACTATATCTACAAAATCTTTTTCAGAAGAAATTAAAATCAAATTGTTTAACCTAAAGTCTTCTTGGGTTGTTCTTAAATGGTTTTTGACTAATTTCAGTTTGCTAAATGACCTATCATTGCCAGCAATGGTTACAGGTGCTGTACACAATAAGCGGCATAATAGATTGGCCAATGGCAAAGTAGTTTTCAAATCATCAAATTAGATAAAATAAATAATTAAATATTACTATTAATATTATGAAATGTGATTTGTTATCTATGTATAAAATAAATAAATCAATCAATCAGTCATTTTGACTACGGTATACCCAATGATGAATTTTTAAATTTAAAACCGGTCGTATAATATCTTAATACTTATCATAATTCTCCAGGCGATGCATTGATTCGTTTATTTAATTTATTTTTATGTATACATTTATTGACTTTAATTATTTACGAATATTAACCATTTTAATAATTTTGTTTTTACTTAATTATTTTATTAGATATAGAATAACATGTCCTGACTGTCTGACTAGTTCATCATCGTCTAGCCCAGGGGTTCCCAACGTTTTTATCATCGAGTACCACCAGACACTTATATAATCAATACACGTACCCCCTCAATTCTAAAACTAAATTAGGAGTCAAATTTTTTTAGCGTATATTTTTATTACTCATTCATTTCTTTACATTTTTATTATTTGATATTTATGAAAGTAAAAAAATCTTAATTTTTAGTTAAATCTAAATATTTAAATTTTAAATTACAATTTTCAAATTAATAAAAAAAAAATAAATATAAATAATAATAAAATTAATGTGATATTTGTTGTTGTTTATTTTGTACAAGGACATCAATATCAGACTTAATAATTTTCACTCTTAAGTCACTTTGAATATCGAACTTACTTCTGTACTTATTTTTCAAATATAATAATTCAGAAAATCCATTCTCACACAAATAAGTAGTGACAAATGGAATTAAACATTGTAATACTTGCTTGAAAAGAGATGGGTATTTTATTTTTGTTGACATCCAAAATGAAACTAATGAAAATAATAATTTTATAAAATTAGCTAATATCAAATAAACTAAACTAAACTAAATAATATTGAATGCAAATAATAATAAAAAAATTTCTTGGCGTATCACGGGTTAGGAACCTCTGGTCTAGCCCAAACCACTGGACGGATCGGGTTAAAATTTGGCACACACATAGCTATTATGACGTAGACATCTGCTAAGAAAGGATTTTTGAAAATTCAATCCCTAAGGGGGTAAAATAGGGGTTTTTAGGTTCATTTGATAGGAATATATAATTGCTTATTTATTTATTTTTGCTTATTCTAGGGTTACCTTGGTGTTATGGATGATAGTTTTGTTGCCACAGAAAAGAAAACTATTAATATTATTTATACTATTCAAATTTCACAGTAAAACACATTTAGTCTGCCGAAGGTGAACTATCCACTTTCCACCTATTTGTTTTCATTCAATTCTGACACGGCCAAAACGAAACCATGAGTAAAATAATAGTAATACAAAATGGCACGGACAACGCCGGGCGCGGGTCAGCTAGTAAAATATAAGTAAAGACAATACAACTAGACAAGTATTATTGTATTTATATGTATGTAAAATCAACATATTACTCATGACGTAAAGTTATTGTAAATAAAATGAATTGCCACAGAACAGTTCTATGGTTACTAAAGAAGACATCAAGTTAATCGGTGACCACGTTCGGTTGGTTTTTTATAGTAACGGTTACCATCAACATTGGGAGATTTATAATCCTCCTCATCACTACATATCCCTCTTGTTATTACTGACGCACTGATAACAGTTTACAATTTTTTTTTTTTCCAATAATTGGAGATTTCAGTCAACACCACTATCGGAATAGTGATAAACAAAGTTGCTACGCGTAAAACTCGGAGCAAGTTTACTGGGAAAAAACACGTGTCCACAGACTAGAACAAAAAAATAATTATAAGAAATGTACGTTGTATAACCAATAGCTCTCTCGCTACGCTCGGAATGTAAAATGGGGGTGAGCACGCTTTGTGAATCATCCTTTATATATATATATAAACTTATTCTCGTATAGTATTATGACCGTATCGCGTAAAATATTGTTGAAAAAAAATTTTAAAAAAAATGCCATATTGTCCGCGGATAAAAATATCGAGCAATGCGTACAGAGTCAACATTCGGGAAACCGAGCGGGTACGGCCGCGGCGAGGAAAATAATATGAACAATATGCAATAACGTAGTACGACGACGGCATGGGATTTCGATCGCGCCTCCGTGTCGAATCGAATCGGGACATCGACACGAGGGAGCCGCGGAGAAACCGGCACGCCGTACAAAATCACACGCACGGTGACTCCGGAACAAGATTCCGAAATTAGCTCGTCTGGTTTTTGATCGCGACGATTTTTTTTGTTTTGTTTTTTTTTTTTTTTTTCTGTTGTCCTGAGCCCAACGATATAACCGGCGGCGCACTACGCTATATTAACCCCGGCGGCGGATGTCGTTTTTCGATCGGGCAGCAGCTGCCCCCCCGTCCCCCCCACCCCGCTCGCACGTTTCGGTTAATGTCGTTAACCGCGGTGTCTCGATCGGTCCCGATTTTCGTACCGTAAAATGTCATCTGCGGTATGAACAAAACGATCCGGTTTATTATCGTTTATAATTATTTTTATATTATATAACAACGTATTGTCTTGCGATCGATCATACAAGTATGGACCAAAGTGCGATATTCGCATCATTAATGGTGCCCATTAAATTCACCGTACTATAAATACATAATAATATTGCATAACCTATTTGGTTCATTCTTCTATTAAAAAATATTTCCGCGGTCATTGGTGATGTTGATAAAACAAAATGTGTGCCCCTCCTGCCATTAAGGTCTGCCCACGCCTATGTACGCATCCTTCCTATGTATACTTCCCATCAGCAGTATCGGCTAATTTTTATTATTATTGTAAATAAGTTATAGAATACCTACCGAGCTTATTTTTTTCTTATTTTTTTTTAATTCCGTTTAAACACATTTATACTTTGTATATAATATTACTATAGTTAAATTTGTTTTTGTTTGTTTATTTTTTTATTCATGCGACCTCACGCAATAATAGAGACTTGTTCGCTATATATATACATATCAATAATTATTGTTCATGTAATTAATAATTTTTCCGAAAACTTTTTTATAATTTCCGTGAAACTTTAGCACCCCCTTACATATACCAAAGGGGTTATTTCCCCCACTCCCCGAACCACTCTTAAATATGACCCTGCTTAGCAACGATTTATTGTTGCGTTCAGATATAAATTATAATTAACTCTATGACGTAATTTATCTTTTTTGAAAAATAGTTTATGTTACGCTCATATTATGAGTGATAAAAAATTGTTGTTGATATAATTCGCTAAAAAACAAACCGAAAAAGGAAATTAATAATACAGTAAAACATTAAAATATTTCTATACCATTTCTATACGAAATCCAAAATGAAACAGTAACAAATATTTCATCAGGTATATAAATATAGTTTTATTTCGATTATTGACAGAACGACAGATTAGATATGAGATGACTTTATGAGTTGTACTTAACCCTACAATGCATGACTTCTTTTTGTCTATTGAGAACTTATTAACAGGAAGAATAAAAATTTTGTTTAAATCCTATTTAAATAAAAGTGCTGCCGGTAGGCAACATCATGTACTCATGGCCATAATTTTTTCTTAAAAGGTAGGTATTCTACTTTAAATATGAGTACTAAAGTATAATAAAACTGTACAATTTAAACCAAGAAATTATCTATACACATGAAACAGTTGGTATTAAATCTTCGTAAAATAATATTATCTTTAGTATTTGAAGCAAAATAACTTGGAAACCTTTCGTTCAAATTTCGATTACAATACGTCAATATTTTAAAAAAAATCATTAATTTGCATTTTTCGCATCAAAATTTGTATGGTCTTATTTGAAAAACGTATATGTTGTTATCACCATACGATGCTCCTTAAAATTACTCCATAACATTTAATTTTGTGAAAAATCTTATTACCTATACAAAAATATCGTCGTTCACTGCACTTAAAAATTCCATAAAATAGAATTTTAATTTATACATAGTTCAACCATACAAATGAGGTGATTATGTTTAAAAAAATCACCTTGTACATTATATTATAGATTAGGTTACGTCCAGTGGCGTATTTACGTAGGAGGATTTGGGGACAGATCCGTTTCCATGGCTTTTTAACTACATGTATGTATTATTATATACCTAATTATATTATAATATATAATATAAGGCTCTGTACGCTAAAATTCTGGTCATCCACCCCCTACAAAAAATCCTTAATACATCACTAGTTACGTCAGATTATGTAAATAATAATAATAATTCTTAAAAATTATCCTTATCCCCCCTCTTCTATGAAAAAATCATTTGACCGCCACTGGTGTAGATTGCCATGGTAATGACCACAAATTAAGAAATAACTATTTTATTTCGTGGTACTGATCAACCTGAAATGCAAATTATGTGCACTTAAAACAGTACAAATTTAAAATTAATAACAATAATTAGTCACAACGACCAAATGCCTAACTGTGGGTAATAAACTCATTCGTTAACATTTTATTGTTTATTACTCTTTATTAAAACGAGTTCATTGTATTGTATTTATGCTCTAGGTAGGTACCTATCCGACTAGGCAGTACAGGTATAGGCACTGTTAATAAATTCGTATTCATCAAAAAAAATATATATAAGTAATTTACCAGGTGACTAGGTATAAGTAGATACTTTACATAAATATCATAAATGAATGTAACTGAAAAAAAAAGCTTGAAGGTTTTCCTTTTTTCTTTTTTTTTTATTGTTTTCCAAATACATATAATTAATGGTGTCTACCTACCTACAATTCCGTACAAAACACCTTAAATGTGATTTTTTTTTTTGTCTATATAAAAGAGTTAAAACTATAAGTACCTAGACTAATCAATTATTATCTTGACGCATACAAGTTTTATTACCAGGTGTCATTTAAGTAATTAACGATAGTTTATAATAATATATAAGGCGAATATGGCGTGTACAGAATGTCCAACAACGATTGATACATATATATAATATTGTATATAATATTTCGTGGGGTGGATAATTTATTTAGATAAAATATAACAGCGGAAAAAAATTACTACTTAAATACTAGTTAAATACGCGATGCACAATTTTTACTTACAACTATATGTACTAGATATATTATGTTTTTCGAGTGTCAAACCGCTAATAATATTATTGCAGTTGTCGGGTTAATATGTTTTATGTTAGGATGCGAGAATGATTTTTGCGTTGAATAACCGTTGCAACAACTCGCCTATACTTAGTAGTTTATGAAAAACGATTGAGTTTTTCGTGCCTCGTGGAGTTAAATGATTTTGCCTAATCGCATTATATCTGTAGTATTATAATACGATGACATATCATTCGATGGATTTTAAAGGATATGAATTGACTACGGACAGCGAAGACGTCGTGCCTATTGGATCTTTGGATTATCTTTCTACGAAATACGAGGTATGGTTCCTATTTCAAAAGTCACCAATAAATTATATTAATATACTAATGCAAACATCGTTCATAATGTGTACCTAACATCAAATAATTAGGATACCTACATACATCAACTTCTAAAAGTTGACTAAGTTTGTGCACAATTTAATGTCGGATATTTTTTATTGGCGTTTCCTGTAGTTTTTATCAGTACAAGAAACCGATCTACTTAAAGATCCATCTATTAATATTCATAATCTAAGTATCTACCTGCCCATCAAATTGGCTAGAACCTGTGGAAATTAATGAAACGAAACTGTATCTATTTTTATATTTATCACTATAATAATAACAATAATAACAATAATCAATATTGAATTCGTTGAAGTTTAAATTTGAATACAAGAAATTGTTCATTTTTTCATTTTTTTATTACCTACTTATTATACCCATTCATAATTGTGGGAAAGGTTCGAAAAATGGTTTCCATTAACCTGAGTTTCACATATAGCTGGTAGTCACATTAGAATCAATAGATGAAACTAATTTAATAATTTAATGTAACAGTTAATAATATTTTAAACATAGATACCCGCAGGGACGGCCGTAAGAATATTGCCACCCGTACCCGCTCATACCTGAAAGTACAATAGTTTAGTTAAAATTATGTTCTTTTATACCAATAATAATATGATTTTGGATTTTGCTCCTCCTATCCATCTGGTTTATATTTATGCGGCATTCTTGCTTATATGTACTACATACTTTCTAACTGCATGTCTATGGTTTTTTATTTAAATACCTATATCATATATTTTTAATTTGTCATTTTTATAAAGAGTTTAGATTATGAAGTCATTGAAAATGAGTTGTTTTGCGAAGAAGAGCAAAAGAAAGGTTATAAATATATTGTACACAAGGATTTCGCTAGATGGATGACATTTTTTTGGATCGGGGTCATGACCGCCTGTGTTGGAATAACCATTTCTATTAGCATTGAAATCGGAACAAATTTTAAGTTTAATGTGATAAAAAAATGTATCCTTTTTTTAGAAATAAGGTTTATAGTAATAAATTAATGACGGATTTTCAAAAGTGTTATTTTCAATAGATGCCTATTTTTTGACATTTTATTTTAATTACGTCGGTGGTTGGAAGAGATGGCCGGAAGGGTCAAGACTCAAGACCCCTATACTATCTATTTAAAACACAAAAAACAAATATTGTTTTCAACTAATACTCAATAACATATCAAATAAAAAAATATAAATAATTACAAACAATAATAATAATATTAATGTATATAAGTATATGATATGCGAAACAAATAAAGAAATTACCAAAAACAAAAAAACCAAAGCTTGAAGTATTATAAAAGTTGTACACACAACTATATAACTTTGTGTACAACTTTTATAATAGGTACTCCAGACACCTATATAAATTAAATATTATACATAATACATATAATACATAAAATATATTATTATTTGTATTTATTTATTTTTTTCGTATCTATTCATATTTGATATTATATTATATGATAATACATTTGAAAAATAAAAGTCGGTCGATATTTCCTAAAGTATAACATTTATATTTAGACTGCGACGGATGTACACAAAATGATTGTATGCTTAAACCGTATTTGATAGCTCTTGTATTAAGTATAGTCCCTTCGGTAGTCGGATCGATTCTCGTGGTATACATCGAAGTGAGTCCAGTTATAATTATATCTACTAACTGTATATTATAATTTTATAATCCACTATAGAATAATTATTTAATAATATTTTGTTGCATTGACGTACAGCCCATGGCTAACGGTGCCGGTATCCCGCCTGTGAAATGTTATTTAAACGGAATCAAGATACCGCGGTTGACTAGACTGAAAACGTTGGTTGTAAAAGTTATCGGCGTTATTTGTACGATACTTGGTGGATTGTGGGGTGGTAAAGTAAGTTTAATAATCTTCTCCTTGTCCTTCAGGGTATACAACGGTCTATAAGACCATACATCGATTTGATATTCGTGCATTCCAATCTGATCCTCCTCGTAATACTTCCGCATCTTTCTTGTCTACTCTCTTCTCACCTCCTCTCAGTCTTCCAACGGGTTTTTCCCTGTCAAATTCTATTCTAGTACTGCACGAAATAATACGTTTTGGATTCTCCAGGTGTCCTGCTCATTGTAGTCTCTTATTTAGTTATTTTTGATGATTTCTACGTTTTCTGATGTATATACCTCATTCTTTTTTATCCTCCACTCTTCAATATATGCGTTAAAGAAAACTTTAGTCAAATTTAAGGATAATTACTACTATTTAGGTTGACTTTTTTTTCTGTTGTTTTTGTATTGATTTTCTTCATTGTAGGAAGGTCCAATGATTCACGCTGGTGCAATTATAGCTGCAGGGATTTCTCAAGGGAAAATCATAACGCTAAACAAAGATCTGGATGCATTAAACTTCTTCAGAGAAGACCACGAAAAAAGAGATTTTGTATCCGGCGGAGCCGCAGCTGGAATAGCTGCCGCTTTCGGCGCTCCAGTTGGTACGTGTTAAATATTTATTTATTTTTAAAATTAGAATACTGGATTTCGCTGAGACTACTCGTGCGGGAACCCAAGAGTTTTAAATTAAATTTAACCTAATTAGTAAAATAATAAAAAAATAATCAATATTACAATTATTTGTTAATTATATTAGGTACACAATAATGATACAAAGAATGTGAGCAGTTTATATAATTGATCTAAAATAGATATATGGTTGGCAGTCGGTGAAATCGTATATTATTACATTTTTACAATTTATTTTTGTTGTTTTAAATAAATTCGTTTGGATTATTTGATGGTTATTCCTAGGTAAGGATAAGGAATCGAACAAAAAAAGTTGCATCAAAATAGGTAATGTAAGTCTCGAGATTTTTGCTTACACATAAACAAATGGCTGAGACGAGATTGGAAGTTAATTTTTCTAAAGCACATATTCAACAATATTACCTATTCATCGATAACTATTGATAGTATAAACTATTTGGAAGTCCCCCTCCCTATTAATATATAATATACATACTATAGCTGCCGTTGTACTTACAGTGTCTGTGTAATATTATAAGACACAAAATCGTGTGTGAAGTGAGCCACCCTTTAGGGTGTGGAGTTTAAAAATAGATAGTGACTTTCCCATTGATTTAAAGGTAAAGTTTACGAAATTTCATCAATATAATAATAAAATAAAACCGTAAAATATAGCATCCAAATAGATCATATTTTTTTTTTTTTATTATTATTATAATCATTATAAATTAACAATATAGATACATTAACTTATATACTATTTTATGATTATCAATCCCTTTTAAGCTAAGCTTGTGTTAGGAATTGAGAGTATACCTTTTATAAAAAAAGATCTAACAAGAATTTAATAAATTGTGTACATTAAAAAATATTAATATATAATGGATACACAACAAATAGATAAGTAATAAAAACGAACAAGTTGTTAACTATACACTATACAATTTCTTGCATTTTTACTTAACATACAATAATAATACTTATAAAGTTGCTTATGTCAGTCGAGGGTGATCTATAAACACATAGAATATTAATTGGTATATAGAGATTCATTAAGGAAAGTTTCACAAAATTAGTTTCAACAAAATCATATTCATAAAATTTAACATTAAAAAAAATCTTTAACAAAAATAAAAATTCTATCATTTTGATTCCTATTTATGGACGAATGAAAAAAATTAAAACTATCAATATTGTAATTACAATGAATAGATGCATCATGCTAGGTTTCAGTTAACACAATCATACCTATTTTTTTACTGTCTTTTTCATTTTTTAAGAATAAAATTAATTCATCAAAATTTGAGTTGACACTTCTGATGTTACAACATAGAATATTTACATAATTGTTATTTAGATTATTTTTCATATTAAAAAATCCTGAGAAAGATTTAAAATAATTAGTCTCATAGCTAAGATATTAAGATTGTTTTCCATATAAATTAAGAATTATAATACATTTAAAAGTATCTAATAAAAAACGGTTAGGTTATCAGTTCGTTATCAATTATAATGGCTTTGGTGCTTTCATTTTTTTTATGAACAACTTAGAATTTCTAAACCAAACATATTTTTAGCCCACTTTACAAGCCAAAACTCTAGCTTTAAAGAATAGATTTTTATTAAATTGAGTTAAACTGTCATTCATATAAATCTTGTCATCACTCCAATTAGAATTAACAGATTTACCTGTTCATTTTCGTTTCCTTACACTGTCCATCATAGATTTCTTGCTCTGGTATGTCTGTACTTCTGCCATTATTTTCTTGGGTTTATTTTCAATTTTTGAAAAAATACGAAAAGCTTTTAGTGTATTTACTTTCACTTCTACAGACTCAACGATTGACATCACTGTTTTTCCGCAGTCTTTATTATTTACCTCCGGAACACCTACAATTTCAACGAAATTTTCTATTTCTTTTTGTTCCAATACATTCAAACGTTTATCTAGAATTGCAACTTCATATTTTAATTTATTATTTTGCTCTTTTAATACTTGATTTTCTTCCTTGATTTCTTTAATAACTGTTACCATTTCTTGCAGTTTTTTTCCAAAGCTATCAAATTTATCGCTTATAAAATTGACTGATTCTATTAGGCTTTTAATATCCTTATTATTTGTAGGTTCGATATTTTTCGTAACTGTATCACTCTTAGTATTCTGTGTTCTTGTATTAGGTTCACAAAATTTGCAGTTATTACAACACCAATTTAGTCTGGCATTATTTGACATTTTACGAAAAGAGTCTTCCCTTAACCCAGCACACGCAAATTCCAAAAATCCACTACACGTTGAACATTTAATATCATCACTGTCATTTCATCAATTATAATAATAAAATAAAACCGTAAAATATAGCATCCAAATAGATCATATAGATATATACAATATAGTTCAATAGAGTCTTTATTTATAGGCGGTCTGCTGTTCAGTTTAGAAGAGGGTGCTAGTTTTTGGAACCAAGCTCTCACGTGTCGTATATTTTTTGGTTCTATGATTTCGATGTTCACACTGAATTCGGTTTTAAGCGCTTACCACGGATACGCAGGTCGAGTTGTTAACTAATTTTTTATTATTTTTTTTTTTACATTTTTTGATGAAAATATATCAATACAATGTGTACAATTAATTATGTATGTATAGGTGACCTTACTTATAGGGGCTTGTTAAATTTTGGAAAATTCGACGATTTATCCTATCATATATTGGACATCCCGATTTTTGTTCTAATGGGTGTAACGGGTGGCCTGACAGGAGCGTTTTTTTGCCATTCGGGTCTGAAATTGATTAGATTTAGAAAAAGGTAAGTTTATATTTTAATAAAATTTTACAGTAGATATCTGCTACGAGCGTGTGGGTTCATCGGATGACACAAAATGTCAGCCTCACTGCTACATTGCATCTTTAACTTTAAATAAGTTTCCAACGAGAAATCACGCGACGCCGGCTGCGGGCGGTTAATGTTCCAGACACGGATGTGGGTAATCGCCCGTGGGGTGGTTTTTTGCGGCGAGCACTTACGTTTGCGGCTAATGCCTGTTCAGAACCGGCGGGGGCAACCCCGAAATCTTAATAGATATCTATATTTTATAATTTAAACACTTTCTAAAAATGTATAAATTCTTTACTATGTGCTTGAAATAAAATATAGACATTTTCTTCTTCTTCGGTTTTCAAAGGCCATTGAGACCCATTACAGGCACATTGTTTATATTTTCAGTAAATTAATTAGGTATACATTATGTATTAAATTAATATAAAATATATAAATAAAAACTGTAGTCCATTGACAGGGGGGTCACGTGCCCCTGTGCCCTCCCCCTCGATCCGCCACTGTTGTCTATTATTGTTATTATTTTTTTTAATAGATATATTAATCAAAAATGGAAAAAAGTCGCTGAAGTTTTAATCGTATGCTCAGCCACAATAACCATCATGTTTTTAGTAATTATATTGAGTAGTGATTGCAAAAAAATTGGAGTCGATCCAATAGAATATCATATTCAAGTATATTTTAAACAAATATTATAAAATTAGTATTATTATTTTTAATTCGTATATTAAAATTTTTTGTTTTTGTTGATATTGTTGATACGTAAATTAGTTTGGATGCAACAAAGGTGAATTTAACACAATGGCTGCTTTATGGTTTCAGCTTTTAGAAGGATCAGTACGCTCGTTGTTTCACGATGCTCCAGGTATTATACGTAATATTATACCTATATAATAATATTATAGTTTTCATAACCGTTGGTTTTCTTTTTACATTTTTAGATTCTGGATGAATTTTTAGTAAAATGTTCAACTTTAATCTGCTCAGAATCATTTTTTTTTTTTATAAATTCAAAATGTTGCAACAAATTATTATTATTTTGATTACTTACCTGGCTTATAAATTACTACATAATTATTCCATGATTTATTTTATATTTAGATGTTTTCAATGTACCTACAGTGGCCTGTTTTTGTTTATGTGGTTATTTTTTCTCGTTGATATCTTACGGAATGAACTTTAGCGGCGGTTTATTGATACCCGGATTATGTATCGGTGCAGCGTGGGGACGTCTCGTCGGTCTCGGGATATCTCATTTTTTTCCAAATACGGTAGACCATAGATTATGTTATAATATTATAATAATACATTAATAGGTATAGTGTATTGAAATATTTTAGTAAGTTTCTATTTTAGAACATTGGCATATATGCATTGATCGGTGCCGCATCACAATTAGGCGGAATAACAAGAATGACGATTAGTTTAACGATTATATTAGTAGAAGCAACCGGGAGTATAGCATTTGGTTTACCGCTCATGGTTTGTTTGATGACAGCTAAATGGGTTGGCGATTTTTTCTCTTTGGTAAGTGAATTTTATTTGGTTGAATATAAAATTAATTTACACGTTTAAATTATTTATGTGTTAAAATATGCATACAGACAAATTATAATATTATATTGTCTTGTTCTCCTTTGCCTTCATCCCAACTATTTGGGGTCGGCCACCCTCGTCCTAAACTTCCACTTGACTCGATCTTCCACCTTGTTTTCACGCATACACCCGCAATCCTCATATCATCCCCAATCGCATCCAACCATCTCTTTTTCGGTCTTAATCTCCCCCTCTTTCCTTCAACGTCTATTTTCATTACAATTTCAATTATTTCTGATTCGACTTTCTCTATATTATAATAATATAGAAAAAAAAGGTAAAAAAAAAAACCTTAGGGATCAAATATGTATACTTGCCGCTCTACGGATGACTATGTTACTGTCGAAAATTGCAAGTTTATAAATAAATTAAACTAAATACAAATGCAGGTATAAACTTGTAATAATTATGTTTATGAACATAAAGTGCAAATTTATGCGAAAAAAAATTTTTTTTTCGTTTTTAATTATATTTTTTATTTAAATGTCTATAAGTGCATAATATTTTAAAACACTAATACTTTCCATAGTCCCATCAACTTTAAATTTTGCATACTCATATTTTTGAACATTATAGTATTTTTATATAGTTGTTAATTCATGAACGAGGTTTTGCTTATGCAATCCTAGACTTTATTTCTAAAGGTGGGCAAGTCAATGAAAATAATTGACTCGAGTTAAATTAAGAGAAGTGTAAAAGAATACAAGATCGATAAATTAGAAGTTAACAATTATAAAATTATGAATTTAATTCAGTAAGTTAAAAGTTAATATATAGAAAAAAATATTTAAAAAAGTTGATCTACTTTTTTATTTCTAATGATTTTTAGAATCAAAATTAGAAATGATTAATTTAATTTACATTTTAGATTCTGAGTGTAGCGAAGAATGTACCTATTGGATTTACGTTTTTTTTTTGTACTATCACAAACATTTCTATCAAAAATCTTGCTTCAATATATAAGTATAGCACCTTTTTGAAAAAAAATTAGGTTTTATTGACTAAAAAGTACTTTTGGAAGGTTATTTTTTTAATTTTCCAAGCAATTTTCATAATATCAGAAAAACCCAGGATAAAATGTAAGAAAAACGGGAAAATTTACGAAAATATTGCATTTATTATTTTAAATTTTATTTTTTGTTGTAATTCAGATAAAAATATTTGTAGAGACTAGAAATTTGGACAGAAAACTTATATTTAGCTGTTCTTGACGTGGTCAAATTTTTGTGCAATTTATATACATTTTAATTTGCGAGTTTTGTACTTAATTTTTATTCGGTAGGTACTCTGGGGATAAAATGTTTAGACCAAACAGAAATGCTTGAGAATTTAACATGATGTTCATTAAAAATCGTACTTTGTGGTAAAAAAAAAAATTGAGTAGAGGCTTAGTGTATCACTTTTAAATATTCATCGAAATGAAAATATTTATATAGAAAATATATTGTTGATCAAACCGCTTGCAAAATGCTGTTTAAAATAAAAGTATTTTACACTTAGTCATCTAACTTTTAAAATTATTATTATTATTTTTGTTATTCATTTTATCATTATTTTAATTACTATTTATTTAATGTGAACAAAATTAATTTAACTTAAATTGTATTGTTTTACTGCATTTGTACAATATATCTGCAGTCTTCTAAGCTAATATAAGTTGAAATGATATTAGATATAAATGTTTTAAGTTTTTGTTGAGCAAAGCGGTGGTCGATGGTATTCAAGAGTAAAAATTGTTCGCTACCCCCTCCCCCTCCATGTAATTGACCCGAAGATGCCCCTGAGAAATACTATTAACTGAGCTCTGCTCAGAATAATTTTTTGTTGGTAATGCTTAAATTTACTTAGGTACAGATATACATTAAATTTCTTCAATATCCTATCTTCCCAACTTCTCATCTATAACCACCCATTGTGTGAAGTATGTCCGTCATTTTTTTTCTTATCAATCATTAATATTAAATTTTATTAGTTCGCCCTTCCCTCCCATAGTCAAGATCTAAAGATGCCCCTGTCTCTCTGTCCTGATAACCTGTTCAAGATCCATTCAACTTGAATAATGTTTGATTTTAATAGTTTTGTTAACATGCACCTATTTAAACAGAACATTTAATAATTATAGTTGTTAAGCTTATATAAATTTATATTACTTTTAGAGCATATACGAAACACAAATTGAATTGAGTGGTATGCCGTTGTTAAATTGGGACCCACCGCCATTATCATCTAACATAAACGCCAAAGATTTAATGACTCAACCAGTTATTTCTTTTATGACTAAAGAAACAGTAGGAAACATTGTAAAAATATTGAAAAAGTATTCACATAACGGGTTTCCAGTAATCGAATATGTTCATAATTGTGAATTAGTAAGTAAACTAAATTAACTAATGTATTAAATTTTGTTATTCACCTAATATTTTAATATCATTATTTAAAATATAATGTTTCAATGTTTTTTTTTTTACATATAGGATGAAGGGAATTTTAAAACTAAATGTTTTTTACGTGGTCTAATATTACGATCTCAATTAGTTGTACTTTTGCAAAACAAAGTATTCGACGGACCCCTGACTAATAATTGGGAATCGGTCACAATCGAAACTTTCAGACAAGATTATCCAAGATATTCAGATATTGAAGTAAATAGATTAAAAATTGCCTATTGCAATATAAATTCTGTAAACACCTATCTTGGCTTTTCTATAAATTTGAAAAATGTATTTATATACTAATTATGCAATATATAATTTTCATTATAGGATATTAATCTTACACAGGAAGACGTTAAATTAACAATTAATTTATCGAGATTTATGAATCCATCTCCATATATTGTCCAGCATGTGAGTTTAATCGTATTGTCATTAGACATAGGCAAATAAGTTAAAAAGGTATCTACTATTAGAGAGACTGTAATATAGGCTCTCTAGATACTATATATTAAATGAAATATTACAATTATAATCTTGATGCATATTGTATGTATTTGTTTTACATGTAGACAATGTCAATGCCACGTATTTTTAGACTATTCAGAGCAATGGGACTTAGACACATAATTGTCGTTAACGAGTGTAGTGAGGTAAAATGAAGTTAGACGATATTATTATCTTTTAAACATATTACTATTAGTATTGATAATATTTAGGTTGTTGGAATTGTTACTCGTAAAGATTTGGCTCGATACAGAGTTAGCAGACACATGGGAAAAATCAGCGTAACAGAACTTAAGTTTTCAAACAAAATAAATTAATATATTTTGTAAAACAATTGTTAAAAGTTGCATTTGTTTATGCGTCATTGTATAATTTTTTAAAGAAATGTACGTTAGGTGGTTATCAATGATATTAATGAATATAATAATTATTATAGCTACCTACCTGCTTATAATAGTAATTAATAATTATGTTTATTGCATGATATAATAAATTAGGTATGATATCAAAAGGCGAAATTATTTCTCAAACTGCGCCAATATGGCGGTAGTTTTCGACGTCTCTGATTGGATTATAGTTTTTGGCGGTATTTTGAATTGTGCCATTAAGCTAGAACATAATTTGATATCACGATTTAACTCATCATATATGGAATACGTAACTGTAAACCAATAAGAAACGATGAAACACTAGCGCCAAGTTGTTCTATGAAGTTATAGGTGGTGGAAGAGGGGTGTATCAGTATCATTTATGCGTGCATTATATCTGGTTTATAATATCATGGTTTATTGAACAAATACCCAGTTAGGTACCTATACATAAATGCATTTTTATATCTGCACCTATATTATTATAATTACTGTAGGTACCGATTAACTTGATTTTTTAAAATTTTCATCGCGTTTTGTTTATTTAATTAATATAATTATGTATCTAAATATTATAAATACCTATCTATACTATATACTATTAATATTTGCGTGTATTATTTATTATTTTTGAATGAAATGATAAATTAAAATAAATCATATTTTTGTCTGAATTTTTGAAGATTATTACGGAGCATTATAGGTAAGCCATATTATTTTGATCAATTATTTATAATATTATAATTTATTGTTAGTTATATTCATATATTTTGTTAATCATTAATGTTGTTATCATGTAATAATATTTATTGTATTCAAACTGGATATACTATAACATTCATCATTAGTATCGCTTTTGATTGGCATTTGAAACCATGTCCTTATTTAATCAAATATCTTCTTCGAGTATTTTTGTGAAGACAAGCAAATTGTAGGTATCTACAAAATCAAATAAAGTTTAAAAAACTCGAAAATGTCAAATAGCTATAAATAAAAATATTTAATTGTTCAAAAAGAGATAAGATTAATCGAAAGAAACGACTAAATATTTCATCCATATATTTTATAATTAATGAGCTGAACAAAATACAGATTTTCTACAGACAATGATTGCGTGGACTATAGGAAATTTTACCGCCACAGTTTCGCCACGGGACTATTCGCTGCCAGTTATTAAACAGTATAGTTTTGAACGTAGAAAGGGTTTACGAGGTTAGGTGGTCGAAATTTAACGCCAACTAGCGATTTCCAATGAACTAGAAGTAGGTACTTAAAATTTCAAGAGAATTCATTTAAATGAAAATACTCGACTTAATTGAATGAAAACTAATGTTGCGCGATTTGGAAAAATATTAATATAATATTATGATTAGGGATGAGAAGTTATAGGATGAAAAATTGGTAAAATTTACAAAAAATCAAAAAAAAAAAAAAAAAAAAAAAAAAAAAAAAAACGAAAATATGACAAAAAATACACATAAAAAATGTACATTAAAAGTTTGCATTCTGGTAGATAATAAAGTAATATAGTAATATGCGCAATATAATATAATTAAAGTACATTTATTGTTTGATTGCAACATACGGATATTTTCAACATCCAAACGACGGCGACGACAATTGTCCGAATGAATATTTTTACAACGGATTAAAGTTCTGTGTATTTAAAATATATTCATATTTTTGTAAATATTGTGATACTCACATATAATTGTTATTTATTTTTCATACTTGAAAAATATATTATATTCCAATTTAAGTGGTATTTGATAATAAACGAATAATATGATACATATTATAAAAGTAGTACATAAATATATACATTTCACATTTAAGGTTTGAACGCTATGTTATTGAAACTACAAGTTTTATATTCAATTATTGTTTTATGAGATAAAATGCATTAAAAATAAGTACAAATTGACTAAATATGCATAAAAAATCATTAAATATGCTATACTTAAAAAATTACCAAAATATGCAAAAATAAAAATCACAAATATGAACTCACTAGGTCCATCGAACAGATTTTGGGCTCACCTAGCTATAAATAGGAGACTTATTCAAAAATATTCAATTTCTATAGGACTTCTCATCCTTAACTATGATGCACTTTTCTGTTTTACTACTTACCTTAAATTAATTTAGCTACTGAAAGTATATCAAACTTGTTATTGTGATTTGCGACTACTAGATATTTTATATAATTAGGTATATTTATTATGGTCTCCATTAAAACTTTGTATTAAGAATCAATTCAAACACGATACGAAAATATCAACTTTAATAGTCTACTATTAAAACTCCTAACCTGATCAAGGTTTTTATTTTGACTTGTCAAGGTTTTCGATTTATTGAGGTTCCACTGTATCTACCTATATATTAATAATATTATTTCCATCATGTACTTTCAAAACACAAGCCCTCGGGTGCTGGGAACCCGTATCCATTTATATGGATAATTATTATGGCTCAAGTACAATTTACCACGCCCCTAAAGAATTTTAAAATTTATTTATTTCAAATTTATTTAGAAAATCCGTGTTTTTTTACGCTGATTCTAAAAATATTTGAACTTTTTTATGGAGACCATTATTAAAGAAGTTATGGCAAAACAATTTTAAAAACTTCGACATAAATGTAGTTTAGTTCCGTCGTTTGTTTTTAATTATTATTATTATATTTTAAATACGTGTTTTAAGGCAATTAACTCAAAAATGTTTGAAAAAATTGACCGGGTCTCACGTTGCCAGGTATTTTGCTTTGACTTCTTTAACAATCGTTTTCATTTTTATAATGCAAAATAGAAATTCAAATTAATACAACTATTTTTAATTTTAATTTAAAAAAAAAATAATGCTTAGCTGAGCTCTTCTCAGATTATTCAATACCTATCGTATTTCATTGCAGTGATTAATCGATCCATTCAGAATTTAAACTCATATATATTACCTACCTATAATACCTATAAATAGTAGATTTCCAAATGTCCACGTATAGGGTATAAGTGTGAAATAAATTATGATCATAATGATAATAATTATAAATAATTTATTGATATTAATATTTTTATATTTATTATGGAATTTCGCAGTATCGATATATTTTATAGGTATAGATATTTTTATCTAATACAGATGTGGTTGATCACATATTGAAACAAGTAGGTACCTATATTACCAAAAATTGTTCCAATATGAATAAATCAAATTCAATATTTTCCAAAAGTTAGCCTTTTATTACACAAATTAGATAGACCTACGTTCATTTTTGTTATATAATAATAATAATAATAACATACTTTATACATTATTTAATGCAAAACGTTTGTTTGGAATTATATTCATTATAGGTCGATAATGTTATTGATTTACTGAAAATCAACAAGTTGCTCAATACTTATAATATAAATTTACTATCTACCACCTACAATAAATTATACAGAAGGTACTATATAATTAACAAATTATTTTGTTTAAAATGATTTAATTTAAAATTTGATCAAATATTCAGGTAATTACTAAACAGCAGGCTATGAAGAACGATAATGTGGATTTGTCGTTTTGTTATCAGTGATTATTTAATATAATTTTCACTGACCTATCGACGACAAAAAATTAAGGCACAGTTAATAAGTTTAATACAGTTGCAGTACCTAGTGATAAGGTAATGTACCTGCTTATTTTATTATTTTGTCATTAAAAATATTAATTATTATTACTTACAATTATTTATTTTTTTTTTATTAATTTAGCTATCTTCTAGTTTGCTACTATGATAGCTCGATAATTTACTTACATTATAAAATAGGTAATATCATTTCGGTTGATATTTTAAGATATAATAATTGCCTAATATGTATCCAGTATCCAGTATAGGTAGGTAATCTTGAATATTTAAATTTTTTTTTTACCTCTTCAAATTTTTTATAATTTTTTAATACTACTTGTAGATACGCAAAATGTAATGAACAAAATTAATACTTAAACATGTACCTATTGTTTAAGTTTTTTTAACCGTTCTGATATTATTTTAACATAGTTTGAATTAAAAGCAAAGCTATTAAATGAACAGAAATCGGAGCTCTTCTTTTACTACTGTAAGTACTTATTTGCTTAGTTTGTGTTTAATACGATATAGACATTTAAATTTCAATCCAGCATATCTACTTTTTTTTTTTTTATTCAAATATTATTTAATTTATCCAATAATTACATTTTGAACAACTATTGAATAAATAAAAAATGTGAAATAGTCTTATCCCACGAATCAGAGAGCTGCTGAATGCAGATATACAGACTCTCTAATCTCTAATCTCTAATCTCCCTCTCTCTCTATACATATATATATATATATATATATATATGTACAATAATTGTATAAAATGAGTATCTGTGGACACAACTGACTACATTGTATTATCAATAACTGTTTATTGTTATGATTTTTGACCTTATAAACTAATACGTTCCTATCGTTTTAATTAAATTACTTGGGTACAGTCTTAAATCATATACCTTGTATATGATCTAAGGGTATAGTGCTATTGTAGTATTATACATACTCGATTACCTACGTAATGTTTTTACAAATACATTTTTTATGATACAGGTACATCCACGGCTATAGTTTTATCTATTTAAAGCCATTGATACACCATACATACCATGATCATCACAAAATAGAATAAAAAACCAACAATGATAATGGTGTATTATCACAGAATATTGTATCCGTTTTATAAATAACAATAATCATTTTTATAGTATTTCATTACTTATACAAATGAAAACAATGAATAATTAAAATATAATATTGACAATTACCTACTTGAAACTTAATCACTGCTAAAACATAAATATCATTATTCCTTTAGTTATTTATCACCTTTGAAATTATTATTTTTTCTTTGTTGCATCCAAAGTTCAAATTAAATATTTTTTACTCTATTAACTCACACATTATTTTTTTTTTTAAATGCAAATTGAAATAGACTAAGTACGGAACAATGTCTCGTTACAGTAACAATAAAATTGATTCTTTTTCTGAAAATGAAGATACGGTCCCAATTGGTTCGTTAAATATTTTATCAGCAAAGTATGAGGTAAGTCATATTATAAATGTATAAATACAATTTTAGTAGAAATATATTAAATATTAGATATAAAATATGTATCTAATTGATTAGTCAATTGGTAAAAATATGTACCAGTCGAAAAAAAATGAATTTAATTCTTGTAACAGAAAGTCTGATTTTTACAGAGAGTTAATCACTGTCTAATATTATGCACATCAGATTCCAGAGTACTATGATTTTCCCAATAATTACCAAGATTTCCTATACAATTTATTGCAAGACCATCAAAAATTTCCACGATTACCAAAACATTTGTACACTGATTTTTGTTAGTGATTTACTCTGGATTTTTATACGTAAAAAGTTATCAAATATAGACAAATTCCTTATTTATATGATTAACTATGATTTTTTTAAATTTTTCGTTATTGGTATTATTTGTACTTTTTAGACAAAAATATCATTTTTTAGCAATAATTTGTTTATTATTAAATAGCCATCAAAAATTGATTTGTCTGTACAAATGCCTACAGCAAATATTTTGTATGAATTCAACACAAATATATTCAATATTATAAAAAGTAGATATTTGTTATACCATAGCCACTAAACATAGGCCCTTCTACATTGTGAATTATAATTATTTTTATAAATGGTTTTTGCAGAGTTTAGATTATGAAGTGGTTGAAAATTTTGTTTATCGTGATGAGGAGCGAAAAAAAGGTTATCAATATGTAGTTAAGAAAAATTTTGTACGATGGATTATATTTTTTTGGATTGGTGTAATCACAGCAACTGTAGGTATAATTATTGATTTATCAATAGAAAATATTGCAGATTTCAAATTTAGTCATGTTAAACAATGTATCCTTTTACAGTGAGGTGTAATAATATAGTAAATATTTACAATATTTCTTATAATCTTATTTGTTTATTGTAAATAACTTGTGTACAGAGGTGCAAATCATTTCAAATAACGCAGCGACAAAATATTAGTTACCAAAATACTCACCCACCCTTGGAAAAATAAAATTAGCTCACTTCGTTATCATATATTTATTAATTTTTGGTTTCCCAAAAAATCATAAATGACATATGAATGTATGACAGCAATAATGACTTATATCACAATATAATATTAATATAGTTATGTAATGTGGTAAAAAACTACAAAATAATATTGTTTTAAAAATATATGTAAACAAAAAAATTACCACACTTAAATGCTTAGTAATTTTGAATAGTCTTTAATATGACCAAGAGGAGGGGAGGAGGCACAGCTATTGCTACTCTGGGTTTACGTCTGACCGGCTGTCCAACTATCTAATCTGTATTTATTTTTATAAATTTATACTGATACATGTTATTATTGATAAATTTAAATATTTGCGTTCAGAAATTGTCACTAGTGTGGCGTATTGTGGTAGTTGATACCTGATTTACTTATAATAATTTTAATTATTTCAATATTATATTAATTGTTTTATTATTTGTATGCCCTTATGGCACTATACATTCTGTACAACAAAAGATCCTTGTATTTACAAGACTATAATTTATTATTATGTCTGAAAATGATCACTGACCAAAATTACCTACCCACCTCCTTATCAAACTACTGGATGGGTTAAGTGTCTCCAAGTCTCCCTAGGTTTGATCCTTTGCTAGTATAATAATATTGTTTCTTAACTAAACATCTATTAGATATTGAAGAATGTAATCAAAAAAACTGTTTATGGCGTCCCTACATATTATTGTTGGTTTACAATGTTGTGCCAGTTTTAATTGGGTCTACATTAGTTGCATATGTTGAGGTAAATCTGAATTTATCTGAATATATATTTATATATTAAATATTTTAATTTAATTGTGTATGATTTATAATTTTTGTAGCCAGTCGCATTAGGATCTGGAATTCCTCAAGTAAAATGTTATCTTAATGGCATTAAAATACCAAGACTAGTTAGAATTAAAACATTATTTATAAAAGTAATTGGAGTAATTACAACAGTTGTTGGTGGCATGTGTGGTGGAAAAGTAAGTCAATATTTTATTACATTTTTAGTTTTAGTCTTGCATATATTTCATAATAATATAAAACTGAAATGTTTTAAGTAAAAATAAATTGATTTCACTCAATATATCAAATATAAAGATAGTTATTTTCAAAGTCCTCTGATTCTTATATGAATATAAGGAACTCGTTTTTTTTACTATCTAAAAGAAAGTTGATTGCATTGTATGTTATCTATGCCTTTGGCAATACATTTTGGTATGATGTTGACGGTTATATTTAATAGTTATGTATATGTTACCAGCCAAACACGATTTCAGGATAAATTAATTAATTCTGTATACCAGATGTGTTTAACATTTAAGACATCGATATTCCTATTGTATATGTTTATATGTACTATATATATTATATAGTCTGCTCATACAGTCATTAAATCTTCTTCATTCTGTTCAAAGTATTTTTGTTTTTTTTGCAACAATAATAAGAGTTAAAAGAATTAAATGCTTAAAAATAACTGGAAAAAGGTTTTCAGAAAAAAAAAAAGTTACCCTAACGGGATGGAGTGCAGTAGCAGTAGATAAATAGAAAGGTTTTTTTTTGTAGATAGCATATGTGATGTGAGTTTTAGATATAATATACAAACAAAATTATTTTTGCTTTAAAAATGTTAAAAGCAGATTTGCTGAAAACATGATAAATTATAAAATGTTAGAAAAGTACATAATAAACAATTTTATATTCATACATATTAAATAAATCAATTATAGAGCAGGTAGAACACCATTACTAACAAATATAAAAATAAATTCAATTGTAACTTTAATGATTTCTAAAAAATGATTATTAAAATATTATTTGTTTGCAATTTTTTTTCGAAGTTAATGACAAATAGTTGTTGGATTCATGAACAAAATTAATTTTATTTGAACATTTTTAACATTTCATGCTACATTCAAAAAAAGGATAAAGATTGGTTAATATTATTTAAATAAAATTACATTGTTTATAGTCTAAAGTATTTATTTTTTTTTTTTGTAGGAAGGTCCAATGATTCATGCTGGTGCAGTTATAGCAGCTGGAATCTCTCAAGGAAAAAGTACAACATTTAATAAAGACTTTGGAGTTTTAAATTATTTTAGAGAGGACAATGAAAAGAGAGACTTTGTATCTGGAGGAGCCGCTGCTGGAGTAGCTGCTGCTTTTGGTTCACCAGTCGGTAAATATATTAGTGGTTTCTATTTAGTATAATGTTGTAATATATTTATGATTCTTAATTTTCAAATAATTTGTTGAAGGTGGCGTATTATTCAGTTTAGAAGAAGGAGCTAGTTTTTGGAACCAAGGGCTAACATGGAGAATATTTTTTGCATCTATGATTTCAACATTTACTCTAAATGTAGTCTTAAGTGCTTATCATGGACATCCTGGTAAGATAATTTTAATTTTTAATGTTAGAGTAAACTATACATATTCTGATATGTTTTTATTTACTAAATAGGTGAATTGACATACTGGGGCTTATTGAATTTTGGCAAATTTAACAATTTTGCACTATCTTATGAAATATTTGAGCTGCCTATTTTTGTTATTATGGGAATTATTGGTGGACTAACTGGAGCATTGTTTTGTCATCTTAATTACAAACTCACCGTTTTTAGAATGAGGTAATCTTAATTATAATATAAACTAAGTTATATTATTTTAAGCATTTTTAACCAGTAAAAAAATATAAAAAAATCAATATTTCTGTTAGTCGTCCATTTTAAAATAAATTATGTAATATTTATATAATTATTAATGGCTGTGCACATGTTTTATATTAAAATTTTGGTTTTCAAAATTAAACATCAAAAGCATGTGTCATTAGTTTTGCTTGGAGTTTAAACAAAAATGTTTCCTACACAGTGTCCCATGAAATGCCTATTATAATATTTCTAGAGATAATCAACATAATCAAATTTTGTTTTTTTTTTTTTAATATTACTCACTGGGACTATATATATTTATAGGGAAATTCATTTTTTATGCTTCAATAAAAAACTTAAAAAATAACTGTATTTTTTTGTTTTGAAAAATTTGAAGATAATCATTATATAGTTTATTTTTCTGAAAATTTTGATGCATCAATTTTTTGTTTTTATGAAATTTGTTTTTTAATAATTTTTTAAAGTTCATAGTAAAGAAGTGTACAGTCAATTGATTGTAATAATAATAATCAATTAGAGATTTCAATGATATTACAGTTTGCTGTATAGGCCCTTTTCTCTGAACTTTAAAAAATGATAAAAAATCACAAACTTAATGAGAGTGGAAAGGTTTTATTGAGTTCTATTGCTTCAGAGTGGGCTGCTAAAAGTGTTCAAATATATCAGGAAAAAGGTACGGTAGTATATTAAAGAGATATAATATAGTACAATAGTTTCTATTTTCAGGGAAAATTATACAATTAATATTCATAATAAATTTATTAACTATATAACATCTAAATAAATTCATAGTATCAAACAATTAACCTTAATGTGAGAGTATACTCATTAAATTTGTTCAGAGTTATCTTCCTTTTTTTTATTATTTATTTGGTTGTATTTTCAGGCATTTAGTAAGCCGCTGGAAGAAAGTTTTGGAAGCGATTCTAGTTTGTTGTTCTACTGCTACTGTGGGTTTTTTATTAATGTTATGGAGAAATGATTGTAAGCCATCAGGTCTCGATCCAACCAAATATGCTGTTCAGGTTTGTATTATATTTTTTTTTCAGCTTTTACAGTCCATACAGTCTCAACAACTTTTCTTCGTCTAATTCTATCCTCACTGTCTTTTAATCTTGAGCCTTTTGAGACTTTAGCAAGAATGACATTATCCTGTCCATTCATCTTTGTTAGTGCGACTCCTGGGCCTTTTTCCATTCAGTATTCCAGTAAAAATTTAATTTGTTATACCTTCTGATCTCCAAATATAACCAGCCCATTCTATTCTTCTGCTTTTCAGAAATGCACTAATGATAGGCTTATGGAACAGTTAGTATACTTTTTGGTTAGTTTGTTTTATATATTCTCTGATGCAATCGTCAATTTGATTTTAATGTGTACATTATTTCAGCTATTAATATTAGTTCTTAGGTATCTGAAATCTGTAACCTGCTGAAATGCATACCCATCAATTTGCAAATCAGATTTGTCTCTCACTCCTCTTGATGCTATACAGTACTATCAATTTTATTTTTTCTTGATTAATTATTATATTCATTGTTTTGGCCACTTAGTAAGTACAATTCTTCTTTCCACATTCTCTCCAGAACTACCTATTACAACAATATCATCGTCATTTGTACAATATAATACTCATATATAATTTGTTATTATTTATAACTTGTATTAGTTTGTATTATATAATTGTTATTTTAATTCTGAGTAAAATGAAAAAAAAAACACTTTTGTTGCATAGTTATATTTTGGGGGATAATTTAGGGAAATTATATTTTCTTCTTCTGGGCTTTTACAGGCTTTTAAGGCCCATCACCGCAACAACATATTGTTTCCATCCCTCTATGATTTGCACATTCTTCCGCGTTTCTTACGTTCAGAAGTCCTAAGTCTCCCTGTACTCTATCAATCCATCTTTGTCTGGGGCGTCTTCGAGGCCTTTTAGTGTCGGGTTTTGATTTAGTTATTGATCCAGTCATTTCCTCTGACCTCTACACATGTTCCGCCCAACTTATCCTTGTGCTCTTCAGAGACCCAATAATGGTAGGTTCCTTATAGAAACCATCCAATTCTCCGTTGCCTCTCACCTCATATTCTCCATCGTTATTTGTCTTTGGACCGAAGATTTTCCTTAATATTTTTCTTTCAAACACTCCTAACTTTCCTTTGTCCGATTTTATCGTGGCCCATGTACCACATGCATACAGAGCAACCGGTTTGACTATGACTTTGTATAACGTTATTTTAGACTTTATTGAAAGTAATCTTGATTTGAATTGTGGCATTAGACTATTGTAGCATCTATTTACTTCCATAAGTCGTTTTTTTAACTTCTTCGTGGCTATTAGCATTTTCATTGATTTCTGCGCCTAGGTACTTGAAGCTCTGTACCCTTTCAAATTTGTAATCATCAATTTTTAAATAATTAATATTGTGATTTTGTCTCGAAAGTATCATATACTTTGTTTTTGACTCATTTATCTTCAGACCAATCTCTTTACCTTCACTTAGTAAGATGCTAGTTGTATTTTTCAGTTTCTATTTCAGCTATAAGGACTATATCGTCAGCGTAAGTTACTACAGTTAAATTGTTATTGTTGTTCATTTTTATTCCTTTGGCTTGGATTAGTACCTTTCGTATACCTGATTCTAATGCAATATTAAACAAAGATCGTCCCAAACAATAGAGCATCCCCCTGTCTGAGTCCGGTCGTTACTGGGAACTCATCTGATACCTCTCCTCCAAAACTTACTTTACTTTTGGACTCATATGTACATGCTCTTATCATTCTGACTAGTTTTGCTGGTTTTCCTATTTAGCTCATTCCATAGTTTTTCTCTATTAATCAAATTGTATGCTGCTTTTGTAATCTATGAACATAAGGTGTATATCTTTATTGAACTCGTGACTCTTCTCAGCTAATTGTTTAATAATATAAATTTGATCAACTGTTGATCTCCCTAACATGAACTCAGCTTGATATATAGCTTCTCCTATTATTTCTTTAATATATGGATTGATTCTGATCAGAAGAATATTAGATAGAATCTTATAAATTGTGTTGAGTAGGGAGATCCCTCTATAATTTTCATACTCCGTGATATCTCCCTTTTTAAAAACAGGACATAGGACAGATACTCGCCACAATTCGGATATTTCCTCTTGTTCTCAGATTATGTTTATTAATTTATGAAGCTGGTTCAGTAAGCATGGATCACCCTTTTTTAAACATTCTGATGCTATTTCATCTTCACCTGGTACTTTACCATTCTTAAGCATATTTAATCCTGTTTCTACTTCACATATTGATGGGTTTTCGAGTAGCTGTTCTACTGTCGTTAGCTCGTTTACATTGATATTAATTATTGGCTGGTTCAAAAGCTTTGTAAACATATCTTTGAATTCACATGTAATTTCATTGTTGCCTGTTAGAAGGGTTCCATCACTTTTTCTCATTGATCTGGACTTGTAGCCATGTCTTACTTCATTTGCTTTTCTAAAAAATTTTTTCGAATGGCTATTTCTATTATTTTCTATAATTTGTATGCGTTTTTTTCCCACAGTCTCTAAATCACTCTAATCATCTTTTTTACCTCTATTTGTTTAAGTGCTAACAATCTTTTGTTATCTTCATTGGGTTCATGTACACTTTCATGCTTCTTACATTCCTTACATAGGATTTAATTCGTGAATCAACTATTATGTAGTCCATTTGGTTTCTTACATATCTACTTGGCGAAATCCATGTTTGTTTATGAATATTCTTGTGCGGGAAACATGTGGTACTTATAGTCATATTCCTAGCAGCTGCAAATGAGATCAACTTATTTCCATTATAATTAGATTCTTCATGTAAGCTGTCAGATCCAATTGTTGGTTTATACATCGTTTTCTTTCCAATTTTCGCATTAAAATCTCTGATTACTATTTTCAGTTTATCAGCTGGTAAAGAATCGTATAGCATGTCTAAACTATCATAGAACTCATTTTTTATCTCCTCATTTTTGTCTTCAGTGGGTGCATAACAGTTAATTAGAATCATATTGTACCACTTACATTTAAGTTCTATGTAAAATAAACGAACATTTATAGGTTTGAAATTTGTAATTTGTGGTAGTAAATTTTCTTTTACTATAAACCCTACACCTCGTTCGTGTTTGTCTCCACCGCTGTAAAAGAGAGTCATTCTTTGAGACTTCAAGCTCCCTGAACTTGTCCATCTCACTTCTTGAATAGCAGTAATATCCATCTCATATCGCGCAAGACACGATAGAGATGTCGTCAAAGCTCCAGTCCTAAACAATGATTGCACGTTCCAAGTTCCAATTTGTAAATCCGTTATCTCTTTCATCCGAGGCTTAGAATAATGTTGTTGTTTCTTAATATTTACTTTTTTATGTTGTTGGCCCTGCGCACAATCCCCAACCTGGAGGACCAGTCCACACCAACTAATTGAAGTTAGTGTGGGGCTTGGTGCCCTGGATTCGCCAAACCCATAGTACTGATTACTTAGTACCCCCTGAGGGGGAAATTATATTTTAAATCTCCTAATTAAAACTGGAATTATATTTAAAAAAAAAAAAATTTAGTTCTAAATATTTTTGTTCAAACTAGTCAAGTTTAAATGGGTTACTTTGATAATTATTTACTGAGATAAATAAAACAAGAAGTGTGTGTCCAATATCTAGTCTGTATTTGACTGTAAATTGTTGGTATGTAATATTGTGAAAGACAACTATTTATTTATTTAATTATTCTTTCAATGATAAAAATAATATTATTTTTACTGGTTTTATTTATAATAATTACTGAACAGGAATTAAAAATATTAAAAACTTAATACATTGTACTTATTGATCAATGGAAACTAAAAGTTCAAATTAACCGCCACCACACATTTTCTTTTTTATAGTTAAACTGCAATGACGGTGAATACAATTATATGGCATCATTGTGGCTACAAGTTCCTGAAGCATCAGTTAGATCTTTTTTTCACGATCCAGAAGGTAAATAATTTTATAAAATTGTTTGTAATACCTAAAATTTTATAATTTATTTTTATTTATTTATTATTAATTGATAATTTTTAGAATCGCTTGATGTTGCTACATTGGTGTATTTTGCTATTGCTTATTATTTACTTACAATTTGGACATATGGCTTAAGCGTAAGTGCTGGACTATTTATTCCGTGTTTAGCTACAGGTGCAGCATGGGGACGACTCATTGGAATTGGAGTCCAATTTATATTTCCAGGGGCAGTAAGTTTAATTTTTTTTTAGTTTATATAGTAGTGCAGTTGTGATAATCTAAACTAGTAGTTCCCAACTCAACAATAGGCACGGACCACTTATACATTTTTCATCGTCACTGACCACTCCCTGATTTCAACCCCCCCCTCTTTATATCACTTATTTTTTTTATAGTTTTATATATAGTTTATAATTTCTAGGTACAAAATGTCGTAGAAAAAAATATTTTAACTTATTTATTTAAAAATTTAATTAAATAAAAAAAGCTGATACAAATTTAAATTTTACATTTTACAAACTTATATTAATTAACTTATTCAATGAGAAAAAAATATAACAAATTTATATTATTGAGTATTAATGTGACTTATTAGGGCGCGCTTCTTTTACCAGTTGTGAAATTCTTGGAACGATGCTGTTGCTTAGTGCCAGTCCCATATCATCACTTGGATTCAGACGATTTTGTTGTTTATTTTTTATAGATAATAGTTATAGTTATAGATAATGTTATTTATATCCGTACATAAATTGCCATCGGTCGCGATAGTGTGTTATCTGGCTGTTAGGCGCTAAGCCGTTAATAATAAAAAATATCAAGTATAATTTCGCTCATTTTTTTAAATTTAAATTTTTTTATTCGCGGACCACTCAAGATGAGTCCACGGACCACCAGTTGGGAACCACTGATCTAAACTAATTACTGTTGTACTTACCCTGTTCAGATTAATGATGGTATTAATTAATAATACAAATTTATTCCATTACATAATATTATACAGGATAATATTTTAATACACAAATTTTTAGGATATATGCTTCTCTAAAATGTTCTAAAATTTCTTTTTAATCCTTATATAGTGGTGATACCTATACCAATTTTTTATGGTTACCAATAATCAATTGTGTATTACTATTATAGTAGTCAGATTAATTAGGTTTTGGATTGTTACAAGCACATTTTTAATAAAATTTATACTCTGTTGAAGTTTAGTTTATTAATTTAAGGATGTTGGAAAATACGCATTGATTGGTGCTGCATCACAACTTGGCGGTGCTGTACGTATGACCATCAGTCTTACAGTTATATTGATTGAAGCAACTGGTAACATAACATTTGGTTTACCTCTTATGATATGTTTATTAACAGCAAAATGGATTGGAGATTATTTTACGGAGGTAATATAACTAATCAATGCAAATAGGGAAATACAATATTTATTTAATTTATCATTCCAATAATAATTATTTGCTTATTTTTAAGAGTATCTATGATATACACATTCAGTTAAGTGGAATACCGTTGATGGCTTGGGATCCTCCACCATTATCATCGAATATTTACGCTAATGAAGTCATGTCTCATCCAGTTGCCGTGTTTAAATCAAAAGAAACTGTTGGACAAATTATAGATACGTTGAAAACATATACATACAATGGATTCCCAGTAGTCGATGGCATTTTTAATCTTGATTCGGTAAACTTAAAGAAAATGTTATACACAATAAATCATAGTTTTATTTGGTTGTGTAACATACTATTATAGGAAGAAAGTTATTGTAACAACTATAAACCTAATGGTCGTTTACGAGGATTGATACTTCGATCGCAACTCATTGTACTGCTTCAAAACAAAGTATTCAATGAAGTCCCATCTGCTTGGGACAATGTTTCTTTGACAACGTTTAGACAAGATTATCCAAGATATTCAAATATAGATGTAAGTAAAATTGTATATTGTTTGTGGTTATTAACTCTAATTAAATGTAGACTCTAAGTTAATTTAAAAAAAAATTTTTTTAATTATTGCCTTAGAAATCAATTTTTGCTTTTACCAGTTCATATTCAAAATTAGGTTTAAATTTACTAAATAACATTGGAATTCAACAAAACTTTTCTACAATGGTACAAACAAATTGTTCCTACATATTTACAACAATAAATTATTTTATATTTTGTTTAGAGTATTGAAATCTTGGAAAGTGAACGACATTATACAATTGATCTATTAAGATTTATGAATCCATCACCATACATTGTACAACATGTAAGTTTATTTAGTTTCAATAATTATTAACCAACATTTTGAATTCAAAATAAAAATGCTGTTATTTAGATGGCATCATTACCAAGAATATTTAGACTATTCCGAGCAATGGGTTTGAGACATATTGTGGTTGTTAACGATTCAAATGAGGTAAGACTTATATATTTTCTTTTAGTATATGAAAAATTAATTATAGTACATTACTGTTAAATGTTATTATAAATTATTATATTATAGGTGGTTGGTATGGTTACCCGTAAAGATCTTACCCGTTATAGAGTATGGAGACACCGAGGTACACTAGGTGTTGTTGAACTCAGAATTTCTGCTAAATTGTGATAATTGTTACATAATTAATCTACTCTTCAAATCATGTTTATTTTTGTTTACATAGTTAATTATCCTATATTATGACATAGAAATTATTATATTTTTACCAAATACTATTATATATTTTTATTTTCCTAATATTATTACTATTATAATATAACAAAATATACTTATATTTATCTTTGTGAAGTATGTATAATTATTATTATTGAGTGTAAGTTATCAATGAAATTATTTTATTCTTCATTTAACCTAAAGAATTTAAATTCATTTTTTTATTTGAAAAATATCAAAAATTTTGTATTATTTTATCAAATACAAAATATTTGATTATTTTTTTTATCGTGCATTTAGAATAATAGAAAATACTAATAATAATAACTTAGTATGTTTTATAATTTGGAATACGACTGATGTCATAAAAAATTTTCATGAATTTTTAAAGTCTTCAAGTTTGCTTAAATGTTTAAAAAGTAACTTAACTGTATATTCAGTTTTTTGCAATGGACAACTTTGCATAAACAATTGCTCACAATGTCTTTATTTTGAGACACGACAGCTGTTAGTACATCTTCATCTAAGTTAGATTCTCATTTAGAGACATGAAAACTGTTAATTATTTTAAATTAAAATTGTACTTTAATGTATGCACATTTTTAATATTCTCTCTAAACAGATTTTAATAATAAAATTCAAGATGTACCTGTCGTTACAGACATAAATTTAGGCACATTTACTTTTACCTTCCACTAATAACTACAACTATTGTAAGTGTAGGAATTTTCAAGGAACAAGGAAACATTTAAGTGTACATTAATTTATTTATGCAATGAACATATATTTATATAGCGACAATTCAATTAGTTATATAGATACACCAAATATATTTTGTAAATGAGTTGTCTTAAAAATATTAAATACTAATAAAAAAAAATATATTCTATAAGTGAATATTGAAATTGCAGACAAATTAACTTCAATTTTTCGTAAAAAAAAATGAAGGAAAAATACAAGTTTTATACATATTAGGTTTCTAAATAAGACCTAATTTGAATAAGCAGTATTTGCAATCTAACAAAATTTCCATCGATTACCACATTCATTGCACATGACAAATGTTGTCATTGGTTCATCAGCACTTCTAGTTTGGATTTGGTTATAGGTGCAATTTCGTTTCTTACATTTACCACACTTCAATAAGTCTGTTTTAGTTCCCTGTACAGTTGCCAATTGAGCATCATCTATAGATTCTTTTATGAGTCTATTTCTTAAAGTCCTCATCTCATCACTAGCCATCTCTTCGGCAGTCATTTTAGCTAGTTGGGCAGGAGTAATAGCTCCAGCAATAAAGTTACTTCTGAGTTGTGGATTTTTAGCATCTTTTAAATTGGAATATCTACTTCTTATTCTATTCTTATAACGAGCATCAGTGTTTTTAAATTCCGAATAAATGGCATCTTCAAGTTCATCAGCAAGTTCTTCGATTGATGCGCAACCACCAAGTTCATCTTCAGTTTTCAAAGCAGTGATAAGTAAATCACGACATTTAAGACGAACTGCATCTGTTGTTGATGGCGTAGGGAACACCACTGGTTTAGGCGTATCTTTTTTAGTCTCTATTTTTTGTTCTTTTTCCTCAGATTTTTTTCGCTCTTTTTTTTCTTTTTTTGGTTCTTGAGGTACAGATTTGTCACCGTTCAATAATTTTTTCCAATTTTTAATCAACGCTTTCGAAAACGTAATTACTTCTTCATCTTTGCAGCTTTTTCGAAATGAGTTGACAGTCATACCCACTCGAGTTTTTGTAAGTATGTCCAAGGTGATCGGCAAATCCTTAAGAGCTTTCAACAATTCTAGAGCTTGACTTTGGTCAGCATTTTCGTCAGACATGTTCTGAAGTTTGTGTTGTATTTTAATTATGTCTTTTTCCACCGACATGGTAGCAATTGTAACAATTGTTAGTTTTATTAAAAATTAATGGTAGTTTTACCAAAATCAAATTCTCGATGAATATAAGTAATTTGATATCTACAGAATGGATTTAATAACGTGCTGGTTTAAAAAAAAAACTATAATATAATTAGCACACGTTATGAATTTCTGTGAAAATAAACAAACACGAAAAACGCGGCCGTACACCCTCCAAAACAATAATTGAAGTAAAGAACAACCGAACAAGCTAAAAAATAAAAATTGTTGTTGTTTAATGATAAAAATGGTTACAGTCAGGTTTTTTTAGGACAGTAACTCAAATTCACATTTTTGTCTGAGGCTGCACTGTATTAAGTTAACCGGCCAATATAATTTCCAAACATCTTATTGATAACCTGATTTGTGTTGATCAAACACTAAATTCTTTTATCTAAGATTAAATTATTGAAGAAAATTATTAGTTATATCTTATTTTTTATAGTTTACCTAGATGTTCTGTAATATCCTTATAAATCTGTTATAGGAACAATTATATTACACAAAATTTAACATTTTTGTAGTATTGTGTTGGTTTTTCTACAATATTATACATATTGGTTATTTAAATATTTTAAAATTAATGTTGTCCAAAAAATTTTCTCGGGTTTTTTATACGGTTTTGCGTTCTCATCATTCAAATGTAAGTAGTCTTGGGAAAATCTAAACTTAATTATTAAATTGTATTGCATATGTTGAATTTGGGTTTGACAGTTTTCATAACTAAAAAATATTTAAAAATAATTCACAGGTTAAATGGAAGGATAGAGTGTTTTCTGGTATTCAGCCAACTGGAACATTGCATTTGGGAAATTATTTTGGTGCTGTGTCCAAATGGGTTCAACTACAAAATGAAGATCAAGAAGTCATCTACAGTATTGTTGATTTACATTCAATTACTTTGCCTTATGTTAGTTAATTTTTATATTGTAAACTACATAGCTGATCTGAATCATTTATTTTTAGGATCCTAAAAAATTGGAAAAAAATGTCTTACTCATGACAGCAAGTCTAATAGCCTGCGGAATAAATCCTAATAAAAGTACACTATTCCTTCAATCTCAAGTAATTTAGACAACACTTTTATATTTTTATTTGGTTTAGATAGTTTAAAATATAATTTAATATTAGTATAATTAGTATAATCAGTAATGAAGTCATTCATTTTACCAGTGATTATAAAAATAAATATAAATAAATATGGTAATTAATACTGTTTTTTGGGTAGATTGGGTACTGCTTAAAAGTTTATCGATATATTTAGGTACCTGAACATACTCAACTATGTTGGGTTTTAGGATGCTTAACTACAATGCCTAGATTGGGTCAGTTACCTCAATTCAAAGAAAAATCATCATCTTTAAAAGATGTTCCGCTTGGTTTGTACTTGTATCCAATTTTACAAGCCGCAGACATACTTTTATATAAGTAATAAAATATACATTTGTATCTTATGTTATTGCAATTTTTTTTCATTTTTGTTTTAATAGAGGAACTAAAGTTCCAGTTGGTGAAGATCAAATTCAACACTTACAATTAGCCCATAGCTTAGCACGTACATTTAATAAACGTTACGGTGACACGTTTCCCATACCTACAGTTCTTCTACAAAGTATATATTGAACAATTTATAATGTGCATATGGTATAAATATAATACAGTATATTTAATAATTATTATTTTTGTATTTATAGAGGATTGTTCTTCAAGGATAAAAAATCTTCGTGATCCTATGAAAAAAATGTCTAAATCTCATCCAGACCCACGTGGAAGAATAGATATAACTGACGAACCAGATGTCATTGCAGAAAAAGTTAAAAAATCAGTAACAGATTGTACTTCTAAAATAACATTCGATCCTGACAATCGGCCAGGAGTTGCAACACTTTTAACTATGCATTCTCTTGTTTCTGGGATATTGCCTGAAGAAATTTGTGAAGAATATGCATTCTTGGATACTGGAGGGTATTAAGTTTTAATTTTTAGTGACAGTAGTTTTTGTCAAATTTTTCCCAAGTTCTATTGCAATGTATAAAATCTTTTCTATATATTTACACACATAGAACTCCAACTATCTGGACTAATTAGTGTCAAGGATGGTCCAGGTATACAAATATCCATATAATTGAAAAATATTGCATTAAAAGTTATAACTTATAGGTATAGTACATGTACTAGATCAGTGTTTCCCAAGGGGGGGGGGAATTTCCTGGGTAGGAATTTAGTTACTGCATGGGGGGTAATGGAGCGATAGTGAAATTGTAAGAATAAAATATAAAATGTGCAAATTTACCATACCTAGTTTTAAAATAATTTATCTCTTATTTGTTTTTAGTAGAGGGAGGCATAAGACTTGAAAATCTATAAGGGGGCGTAGAATAAAAATTGGTAAAGACTGGATTAGATGATTCACCTGGCTTTGCCCAAGTTATCTAATAATTTTTCTAGGAATTAATTGATAAAATATTTTGAACTTTAAATTTATAAAAAGATTTTAATGTAAAATACGAAAATTTTGAGTTAAGGTAGAAACAAAAATTCAAGATAAATACTAATAATAATTTTTTATTTAAATATATAAACCTTCTGCAGTTCTGCTGCTTATGTATTTTTTTTATTATTGTAACATAGACTTTTACTTTTAAGTATAGTATGAAATGCCTTATTCATTTTTTCTTTTATATAGTATGATATAAATACTTTTTTAATTTACTTTTACTATCAAGAATGTTTAATATTTAGGTATAAACATATAGTTGCGCAACAATTGATTGAGAAATTTACTCCGATTCGTCAAGAGATTATAAAACTAATGGATTCGCCAGAATACTTAAGTCAAGTGCTTCAAGAAGGGCAACTAAGAGCAAATGAAATTGCCTCTAAGACGTGGCAGGAAGTAACTTCAAAACTTGGCACATTACCGAGCAATATAGTTGAAAATCAATTGTTAAAATATAAAAGCTAGTTATAATTTAATATCTACTATAGAATTGTTATTATTATTATTATTTTTAAAAATTAAAGGATTTAAACAATTCTTATTTTCAATGTTTTTGTTCCTTAACAGATTTAAGAGCTTTCCAATCTTCCAATTGTTTTCGAGCAGCTTCAATATCGCTATCAGTTATTGTTGGCGGCACTCCACATTCAATTTCCTCTTTTCTAGCCCACTCCAAGGTCTCCAGCTTCTTTTCGAAAAAACTTTCTTTTTCACTATCTAATTGATTTTGTAATTTGGCTAATTTTGCTGCTTTGACTTCATTACACCATTGAGATGTTAGACGGCGTAAAGACCTTTTTCTTTCAACTCTTTCATAAACGCTATAAATTTGATTAAAAGTATATATCATGCATAATATTATTTTTTACTATTAATTAATATAATTTACTCACGGGTGAGGATGATACTTTAAATCTAAAGTGTCCAATAACCATTCAAACTTTTTGTAGTCCCAAGTACGTAGGTGTTTAAGTCTTTTTTTACGTTTGTCTATTATTTCTTTTAAAGCTACTCTAGAATTCCTATCTCTAGGAGCAATTTTATAATGTTCTTGAAGATTTCGAATATTGGCTGTCATACTAGCAACTAAAATCAAAAATATATGTTGAATAGTGATATTAAAAAAAAAAAAAATGTACTATTTTCAAAGATGAGCAAGTTATGAAAGTAATCAACTAAGTTAAGTTAAGAGTATATAATGTTTATAAGTTAGCTAAAAGCTAACAAATTATTTACAACTTATCATAATGCACAATATTTGACTACTTTATCAAGAAAAATAAAATAAACGTTAATATTATTATATTAATATTTGCATATAAAACCTTAGAAACAAAAAAATTTAAAATATTATTAACTTGATGGATTCTAAAATTAACTGAGGAAAGCTAAGTTATTTCAACACTAAACTAAACTAGTCAAGTTTATAAGTTTATTAAAATCAACCAACTAGTCAAGTTAAAAAATTAAAAAAAAATTAACTTTAACAAGTTAATGTCCATCTTTGATTATTTTATATTATTTTTAATTTTAAGAGGAAACTATACCTGTGTTTCCTATCTAGGTTTTACGTGCAACATAGTAAAATTGTAGTGTTTAGAATGAAATTAAGAGACATATTATAAACACAAATAATACAATTGGAAGAGGAAAATATTTTTGAGGGTATCATATTGCTTTTTTTTCTCTAAAAATTGTCAATGAAAAAGTTGTAGCAATTAAAAGAAACAAAAACTAACATGATTTTTACAAACTTTTTTTTTTGGTTAACAATTTATAAGAAAAAGAGCAATGTCTTAGGAAATATTATTTTTCTTAAATTGTTATGTTTTAAACAGTAATTACAATCTTAACACTAGAATTTATGTATTAATCAATGTTAACCATACTTTGTACTTCACATGATGTGGAATCTAACAAATTGGATTTGACTTTACTGATGAGTTGATGACGGGCAAGTTGTGTAGCATATTGACGTCCCATAAAATCGCACGAAAATACTTTTCGAACATATTCATTGGCACTATAACAGAAGTCTATGTATAAAATAAAAAAATTAGTAACACAGTAAATAATTTACGTTTTTAATTCTTCAGATTCTTGAAATTCCAATGGAACTTTGGTCATATCAAGAGTGTCCAAAGGTGACAAATCCCCGGATTTTTTGGGATCCCAGCATGCTACTTTCTCTGGACGGATCCATTTTATGTGCAAATCAGATTTAAGACCTCTTGTCGACACTAGATTAACAACGTTCGTGGTTCGAATGACTGAACGAATTATGGTTAACATGACGAAATTGAGAACAAAAATGAAGGACAATATGTATATTTTATAAAATATACATAATTCAATTTTTAAAAATAACGAAAATAAGAAGATTTTTCTAAAATTCTAAATTTTTTTCGGTAGTCAGGACTTTGTTATCTACTATCAGTGTTATCACTGCTATCACTTATCTTATCTTGTATTTTGTGTTACTTACTTTTTTTATCGCTATATTTCCCGTAAATTTAGAGGTTAGAACAATATCCTAAAAACCTATATACATTTTGTTCCCTTGTTTTTTTCGTAATATTTAAGTATACGGGGTAAAATTAACCCTTAAATATATTTTAAGTTCATCAATAATTGTTTTGGTTTTGAGTAGAATTTAGTTTTAAATTTATACACTGTTCTAAGTTAATTTTATTTCAGAAGAAAACGATAATTCTGGTCCCCACACCGCTGTACAACATCCGTTAAAAGTGTTTTTATCCTCCTTGGTTTGCTTACCCCATACGTGTCGCCGACTCATCGACAAAAATCGTTGCAAGTGTGTTCGTGTTGATGTTGTCCGGTCAAGCCGCTACGTGGTTGTACCGTTGTACGTTCCGCAGAAAGTGAGTTGTACTCTATTGCTGCCGCGTTCAATATTTACTGATCACTCATCACTACTCTCGTATGTTTTCTCACGTAAACCACTCGTCGTTAAACCTCTGATGTACTTTAATTGAAGCTAAAAGACTGTTGCAAACACCGAATCAATCATAATGGGTTGTAAGTATTATTTTCAAGTATTTCATTTTTCGTTACCTAACTTTATTTTCATTCAGTTTTCTTAAGACATACTCTTGAGGAACTCTAATGCTAGCGGATACCTGTTGACCATGTTTATCTGGTTGCCATTAATTCATCTTGTATCAGTCATTTCTTAATTATATATTTAGTTTAGGATTTCTATTTCTATTTATGATTTCGAAAATGGTTCCTTTTCATTTCTTTTTTGATTTAAAAGTGGGTCATACTTTGATAGTTTAAAATCGTTATTCTGTTAATTCATGTACAGACCATTTTTAAATATTGAAATTTTTGTTTGTTATTTGTTTTAAAATTCGTTCACATCATTTGAATTAATTTTAAAACATAATTTATTGGTTAGGTATCTAAATAAACAATGTTAAATAGTATTTACAGAACACCAGTATAGGTAGTATACTGTTATTACCTACACCAATGTTCTACAAATTAAATCTGCTAATGTTAAATAATATAGGTTTGTTTTAGTTAAATTGTAACATGGTTGATGAAAGTATTTATTGTAATTTGTGTTTATATCGTATAGTTTTTGTATTTTATTATTTAATTTCTCCTAGGTATCTATATTGTTTCATAATTTGTTTTCAAACTTTACATTGAAACCTTTAATGTGCTACTAATAAATATATTTTATGAAATATTTAGATATTATATTCATATGCCATAATCTTAATTTTATTGTCTTCATTTAAGATTTAAAAATTTCTAAAAAAATTGATGTATTTTTAGATTCTGAGCATATTATGAAATGTGTGTTTTTATTTTTTATATTTGTTCACAAATTTTCTTTTGAGTTTTCAACCAAAAATCATGCTCCAATTAAAACCAAGATTCCTTTTTTGTTTGTATTTTTAGATCTAGTTGTTATAATTTTTATTTTCCTTCTAGAAAAGCTGACAAATTTTTGGTAAAAAGTTTTATTATTTTCGATTTTGTTTGTCTACAAGAAATCTTGCTTTGAATTTGATGCGTAGAATCTTATCTGAAAGAAAATTTTATCTCCTTATTGAATAAGTAGGTCGGTTTTTTGATTTTCAATGTAGTTATCTATTTAAATTCTATAATTTTAAAGTATTTATAACTGAATTTCCAGTGAATTTGAATCAAGTCCATAAATAATATTTTGTCAGAGTTGCATCTGCGATTTTCTCACAACACATACGAGTTGAGTCCAAAATTTTATCACATCATCTGAGTTGTGTCCGCATTAATAACTGTATGAACATATTTTCCTTCCCACTTTTATAGACTGAGGACTGTTATTTATATAAATAATATGGTTAAAAATATATATATTAGGTACCTATTATACATTATATAAAAATTTTAATTTATTAATTTTAAAAATATTATGTTTTACTGTTGTGAATATTGTTGTATACAGATAATATGCCAATTATTATTATTTTTATTTTATAAAACGGGTTAAATTGTATACGCTCATTTTTGAACGAATTCAAGATGTAATATATTTTTGTTAAATTTGAATTTTGAATTTTAATATGAATATCAGTTTAAACTTTTTTGACATGAACAACATGAACAAAATTTATTTTGAACAATAAATTGTAAGGTTATATTCAGCCTATTATAATAAGGTATCAATAATCAACAGATAACTATTGAAGAGTTTATCATCAAACATATAGAAATAGAATTACAATTGTTCTTGCGTACGCAACTCTGAACAGTCTCGAATAACTGTTGTCACAACATATATTTTCGTTTTTTATCATAACGTTACATATGCAGCACAAATTTAGCTTAAAATTGTTTTTTGCTTGTAATGGTTTATTATTTTTAATTTTAAATATTACATTTATAATAAATTGTCAACAAAGATGTGTGTTAGGATAGCTTAAACGAATAATAATTATTATTCCTACCTATATTTGTAAAATATAAATTATTTTATTAAGTTATTGTAGATAGGTCAGTTAAATTTTCTATTCAATTATTTAAATTTTGGATAGTTTATTAAAAGTCTCCACATGTTAAAATGAGTTAATATTAAAAATTAACAACTAATTATAGTATAATTTTATTTATGTACCTGTATATTTTTGTTCCAGTTAAATTTTTAGAAGTAATTAAACCTTTCTGCAGTATATTGCCAGAAATTGCCAAACCTGAAAGAAAAGTAAGCATTTGACACAGGTTAACACTGAACTGTGTATAATAATTATAAAAATGTAATATTGTATAATTGTTTATTATTTTAATTTTGTTTAGATCCAATTCAGAGAAAAAGTATTATGGACTGCCATCACTTTATTCATTTTTTTGGTTTGTTGTCAAGTAAGTTATCTGATTTTATTATATATAATATATAAATTGCTAACAATATTGAATTTTTAGATACCTTTATTTGGAATTATGAGTTCAGACTCTGCAGATCCTTTTTATTGGATCCGTGTAATTTTAGCCTCAAACCGGGGTACTTTAATGGAACTCGGAATATCGCCTATTGTAACTTCTGGTTTGATCATGCAATTGTTAGCCGGAGCCAAAATCATTGAAGTTGGTGACACACCTAAAGACCGTGCATTGTTTAATGGAGCTCAAAAATGTATAATATAATATTTTATGTAAACACAATTTTCTAAATAATTTAATAAATATTTTAATTTACAGTGTTCGGTATGGTCATTACTGTAGGCCAAGCAATTGTTTACGTTATGACTGGTATGTATGGTGATCCTAGCGAAATAGGAGCTGGTGTATGCTTGTTAATCATCATTCAGTTGTTTGTGGCTGGATTGATTGTATTATTGTTGGACGAACTTCTGCAAAAAGGATATGGATTAGGTTCAGGAATATCACTTTTTATCGCTACTAACATTTGTGAAACCATAGTTTGGAAGGCTTTTAGCCCTACCACTGTAAATACAGGTAAATTATGAAATAATTATAATTTTTATTTTACAATATATTTCGTTATTTTCATGTTTTCATACACAAATTATTACATTTAGAGAATAATAAATATTTTTTGTAGGTAGAGGAACTGAATTTGAAGGAGCCGTTATAGCCCTATTTCATTTATTGGCTACAAGACAAGACAAAGTCCGAGCACTTCGTGAAGCTTTCTACAGGCAAAATTTACCAAACTTGATGAATTTGTTAGCCACTGTTTTAGTGTTTGCCATAGTAATTTATTTCCAAGTAAGAATTTTTAATCTGAACAATGTAAATTAAATAATTCTATATCTACTTAAAAATATTTTAGGGTTTCCGAGTCGATCTTCCCATCAAGTCGGCCAGGTATCGTGGTCAATATAGTAGCTACCCAATTAAGTTATTCTATACATCAAACATTCCTATTATTTTACAGTCTGCTTTGGTATCAAATTTATATGTTATATCACAGGTATAATTATTATATTTATGTTAACTATTTTTGCTAATTCTTAATATTATACATTTGTAGATGTTGGCTGTTAAATTCAGTGGTAACATTTTAGTGAATCTATTGGGTGTTTGGGCTGATGTTGGTGGCGGTGGACCAGCTCGAGCATATCCAGTGGGTGGTTTGTGTTACTATCTGTCACCACCAGAGAATCTATCTCACATCGCAGAAGATCCTATTCATGCTATTCTTTATATTGTATTCATGTTGGGATCGTGCGCATTCTTCTCCAAAACTTGGATTGAAGTTTCTGGATCATCCGCCAAAGACGTTAGTATATAATTTATATTAATTGACTTAGGTAATTAAAAAGTAATAATTATTCAGAACTAATGATATGTTTCTGCTACAGGTTGCAAAACAATTAAAAGAACAACAGATGGTAATGCGTGGCCACAGAGACAACTCTATGATCCACGAGCTAAACCGTTACATACCCACTGCAGCAGCTTTTGGAGGTCTTTGTATCGGTGCGCTATCTGTGCTAGCTGATTTTATGGGTGCTATTGGGTCAGGTACTGGTATCCTGTTGGCTGTCACTATCATATACCAGTATTTTGAAATATTTGTTAAGGAACAGAGTGAAATGGGTGGTATGAGCACTCTATTATTCTGAAATGTTAAAAATCGATTGAACAGTTTGTACAAATTGTTGAAAATCACCGAATCCCTCTGGGAGAGGACTGTTGTCGTGGTCTATATGTGACTCAAATTTAAATTATACTGAAAATAACTTTATTTTTAGAACCAAAAATTAACTGATTAATCGACTTTCGGCTTTTCAAAATGATGATATTTTACAAAATGTTATAAAAAAAAAAAATGTCCCCAACAACAAATTTATATATTTATTTTTGTTATTTTATTATTATTATTTTTTCTTTTGTAAATTATATAAACGTTAGAAAATAGGAAATTTATAATGTATGAACATTTTTATTTTTTTTTTTCATAAAACTTAAATAATATAAATATAATGTTGCAATTGGCAACAATTCTTCCTAATTTTTTTAATGTAAATACTTACAATAAGTTTATAGCAGTAAAATTAAGTATATTTTTTGAGTCAAACGATTAATGCAATTTTTTTTTTTTGTTGAACATCTCAACACTTATTTTGTCACTTCAGTTACTTACGACTGCTGAATATAATATGTAAATTAATAAAACATCAAAAAAAAGTCATAAAGTTCATATATTTATCATCGTTCTTTTCTACATTGTTAGAAAAATGAATTGATATGATAAAATATATATTTGCCAGAATTGGTAATTGAAGTGCATTTCAAACATATCTATTGTTACGAAAATTTGTTAATACTAGATTGTTTATGTGAATAAGACCGTCATTTTAAAATTAAAAAGGCGTGATGATAAGGGTTTCTTATATTTTCATTAAGTATTTTTACGTACATTTGAATAAAAAAATATTGTTTTTGATATAAATTCACATTTGTTTTATTCATGATGGTGATGTATATACTTAATCAATAATTATATTATATAATATAGTTAAACATAATAATAATAATATATAAGTATTATAATTGGGGGATTGTGCGCCAACTGTTTTTTGTTCAAAAATGCTTTACAAGTTTAGTTCTCCTACATGGCAGAGTGGTCGGATTTTGTTAATTATGTTTTAATTGTAAAAATAATAACATTTTACCAGAGCATGGAACTTGAATTTCCAAATGGTATAGTTAGAATTGCCATAGTTAATTTTTACTGTTTTTTGAACTTATTTTTTTGCTTTTGTCTGTGGTTTTTGTTAGATAATGAAAAATCAGTCCATACCCTCTTAAAAAAATAAATAAATATAGAAATCGGAAGTTTCCACGAGGCAGTATAGTATACCATGTTTTGAGCTAAAAACAGGTTGTGTCCAGGTCCCTTGTTAAAATACAAAAAAATTAAAATTGATGAAATATTTTGTTAGAAATTGTATATGGACTTTTTAATCGTACACGCTAACAATGTTCGTAAAAATAACCGCGAGCAGAACCCTTAAATGGTAAATCTTTAAATTCATATAGGTATGTTTATTGCGTTAGAAGTGACCTCGTGTTAGAGCTGCAGTATTTTCATAGGCACCTACTGCTTTGAGTACACGCGGGCGAAATTTTATTGGCATGTCAATACAGTGTCGCAGTATTTATACCTATTATGACACGGAGAGTGAGAGAGAGACGTCGGTTTTCGCAATACATTCTGGTTGACAATGAAGGTGACGGGGTCAAGTGTGTTATCGTTTGGGCATCTGGTCACGCCGGGCGTACGGGGTGATGGCGGTATAAGGGAAGAACGCAGTGCATCCGCAGCAGTGCTGCGCCACCCCTTGGGCGTGGCACCTATCCACCACCGCGAGCGGGGCATCACTCTTTCACTCCTCGCGTCGCGACTCCTCTCTTTCACACGCCCGTGCCCCGGGTCCGACGTTGTCATGGGGACCGCATCTTGTTCCCCGTCTTAAATCAATAATAATAAAAACGTGGAGCGGTACCGCGGGAGCGAGAGAATCTGTGACGTGCCCGCCGTCGCCGCGGCAACGTCGCAACCGCCCGGCGTGCGCGCGATGACGGGTTTTTCGGAAGAAACTGCAGACTCGGCAGATTGCACGGTTGTTCGCACGCCTCCGAACGCACGGAACGCAGCGTCTAGCCCGTTCAAATTTCGGTTTATCGCGTCGGGACTAACGAATAAATGAAAAAAACATTTCCGGAAAACCGTTTTATCCGGACTTTTAAAATACTGCCTTTTCACCCTCCTCCTCCCCCCCCCCGTCCCATTCTCCCTCCCCCTCCACGGCGGGTATTATACGCCCGGCGACAAACGCGGCGTCTGAAAAACAGTGAATTATTATAACGCGGCGCCGTCGTCGTTGTCGGCTCTACTCGTCGCCGCAAATTGGGTTACACATCGACGACGGCGTCGCGGGTGCGTCGTGCTTTGATTGCGGATTTTAAAGTGGCGGTCCTTGTCGGATTATTTTTTTCATTACGCCGGCAGATGACAACGCGCGCCGAATGAGGTCCCCCGGGGGAAAAGGCCGGTGGAGGGGGGTAGATGGGACACTCGAGGCGACGCGTTCAAGAGTTTCGAGATGATGACGGGTCAATAAAATGAATGATGCTGGATTTTGAACACGTTGCGGTAAAGGCGGTCGTACCGATTACGTGTCTTCATCAATAAAACAAGAATAACCCACGAGCACGAGAGCGGAACGCGGCGATGGCGTTTCTTTTTCTCCTTTTTTTTTTAATAAACCACATATTGTTAATTAATAATACGCTTTTCGCTATTGTTCTCGCGTCTCTGGCATATCGCCCCGCCGACCGCAACGCCCGTAACCCCGAACGCGATCGCGACGAAAACGTAACCGTTTCGCGTTTCGGGCGACGTCGTCGTCGGCGTTTTCGCGGACCGAGGGAGTGGCGCGTTGTCGACGCGCGCTCCGCGGTGGTATCCCGCAGAGTTCGCCAACGGTCAAATCGTCCCCGTGTTGTGTACATTATGCGTGGGGGTACACGCACTGCAATTATATTTATTATTAAAAATACGGGTTGCGCCGCCGCGCCGCGTGTAGACCGTCGCGGGACCGGCACCCTCCCGCTGTGCGTGGTGTCCCCGGCCGCGCGGCGTGAGACTCGCGGGATGAGACGGTCCCGGTTTTCCGCCAGAACGTCAAGGGCGGCGGCCGCGGGGCCGCATGATGATGCGGGCGCAAGGGCGTCGCGTGTGGGGCAGGTGGCGGGCGGCGGGGAGGCGGGCGGCGGGAGGGAGGAAAACGCGGCCCCGCGGGAAGGATGCACGTCGCGGCGGCAGTGTAAAATCCTGGGCCACGCCGACGGGAAAATCCCCGGATTACTTTACGGACTGTCGTCGCGGGTCCCGCGATAGCGCGAACGTGCGGCCGCCGCCGCCGCCGCTGTCGTCGTCGTCGTCGTCGTCGTCGCCGCTACCGCCGTCGCGCGTCGTGTGCCGCCGCCTCCGACTCGCAGAAAGGAGTCGGCACAATATTTTATAGTGGTGTGTGTGCGCCGCGGCGGGTCGGGCGTCTCTCTCATTCTCTCTCTGTCGCTCCGCTCTTCACTCCCGTCGCCGTCGCCGTCGTCGTTATTATCATTATTATTAATATTATAGCGCGGGCCGCGGACGCGAACGGTTTTTCCGCGGGCGAGTGTGTGTGTGTGTGCGCGCGCGCGCGTGTGTGTGTGTGTGTGTGTGTGTGTGTGTGTTTGGCGCGGTACGGTGTGGTGCCCCGGCGCGGTACGGTGTGGTGCCGGTGTGGTGCCCCGGCGCGGAGGACGCGGAAAAGCACCGCGGCCGATACATAGGCGCCTCTACACGTCGTAATATAATATATTATTTATAGAAATATTATCGTCGTCGTCGTCGTCGTCGTCGTCGTCGTCGTCGTCGCCGCCGCCGCCGCCGCCGCCGTTTAATATTATCATTTCAATAATGGTCCGCGCGTACGGTACGCGCCGCGGAAGCTGCGCGACCGACCCGTCTTGGTAACGCCGCACTTATTACGCACAGTCGTCGCGCGGTAGAGCCGCTGTCCGTGCGCGTATATCGCGCCAGTACCTCGCTCCCCGCGTCCGTACATAATATATATATATATATATATATTTATATATATACGCACACACACACACACACATATATATATATATATACGTACGTGCGTACATACGGGTATACGTATACCTATTTCGTTTTTCGATTCGTAAATTTTGTATATCATGTCGCGCGGCATCGACGCCGAGCTCCGCACGAGACCGCTGCCGCCGCCACCGTCTCAGCTGCAGCCGCCGACGCTTTTGTGCCGACCGCCGCTGCCGGCGTCGCCGTCGCCGTCGTCGTCGCCGTCGTCGTCGTAGGACAGGACGCACCGCCGCAAATTCTGCACCAGCCGCCGCCGCTCCCCTACTACCCCCAGACGGATCGAGTGAGTACTGTACACCGATACTTACACGGCGTTTTATTCGCCCTCTTCTCATAAATAACTATTATTGATTGATAACAACAACAATAATAATAGTAATAATCGATCGTGTCGTTGATACCACGCAGTCGTCGTCCGCGTGCAATTGCATTGTTGCAATAACGCGCGTATCTCGCGATATTCTCCGACCGACGCTGCGAACTTCAAAAACGATACGTACGCGGCCCCCCACCTATGAAGCGCAACCCGTTTCGCACGCACCGCGAATACGTATATTACCGCGTAAAATATGTTTTTTTTTTTTTTTTTTTTTTTCCAGCAGCTTATAATGGTCGTAAGTTTTGTCTTGTTGCGTTTCTATGTTATAATTGTACATTGTCAGTGGTTTTGGTACGTCGCGGCAGTTACGTTTTTAATGTCGAATTATAGAGGTATGTTGATTTGATAACCCGGTGGGTGGGTGGGAGAGGGGAGGGGAGGGGGGGGGGGCGCGTTCGAGGACGTGCGTTCAAACGCTGTTCTTAACGTAAACGATTCGCGCGGATAGTGGCGAGAACCACTGATATTATCCTTTTTGACACTACCGATCACTCGGAGAACTCTCGATTGGTGTCGGGCCATGTTTCGATTTGTTGACGAACTTTTTGAACATACAAACTAAAATGTTCGTTTTTGAACTCAACGCCATCTTCCTGGACGTCATCAGTCAACTCGTCGACTTTAACAATAAAAGTGTCACGAATCGTACCTCGGATACCTATCGATTCCGAACCATTCTGGGAAATATCGATTGAACGCGTCTTTAGGTTTCCGAAGACTGTGTGAAACGTTGCGCTGGACTTAAATAATTGTGGGGTCGGCGGGTCCGACCATCGCAATGGTTTGGCGTTAAATCTTTTTTTTTCAACTTTGTAGGTATGGCTCGAGGACCACTACATAATGTTCCGCGGACCATATATAATAATGAACAGTTCCTATACGCTGGGACGAAAACAACTAAACTAACCGAATAGGTACACATACAGGTAAAACTAAGCGGGTGGGTACTTATACTCGAGTATTTTGTATTGCTCGAGTTACTATTATTCAATACATTGTTTTGGGCGGTCACCGGATTTCCAACCTTGAGAGGACGTTACACACGCATAGTACCTGTAGTTGTCTGCGTCTTACAAACGCACGACTTGGTTATGCTAGTTTGGCCTATAATCAAACTTACCGGGATGACCATTATCCGCGTTTGTACGTTGGTTTTTAAAATTTTTAACCGAGATACCTATTTTAATTGTGATATTTCACACCGGTGGTGGATTTACAAGGGGGTGGAGGTCCAGGGAGTTTAGACTCCTTCAGACACTGACAATAATTAAAAACGAAGTATTTATTATTAGATTGCCTGTGAAATACATATGATTTTCCAGGCCACCTCCCTGAACAAATTTTGAAAATCTGCCACTCTTTCACATGCTCATAATATCTCGCTTACAAACTTAAATATCCGAAAAAAAAAAAAAAACCAAAATA